TCTTGTAATCATAAAAGAGCTTTATACAACTTAGTTAAAAAATCAAAGGATGAAAGATTGGAATCATACTATAAAAGGTACTGTATGACATTAATGAAAGTAATAAAAGAAGCTAAGAAATTGTACTACCAAAAACTTATAAATAACTCGGAAAACAAAATACAATTAACCTGGAAGATTATTAATAAGGAAACTGGGAAAAGGAGGGGCCCAGATAATATAACCGAATTGAAAGTTGGGAAAAGCAAAGTAACTAATACTAAGGAAGCAGTAGAAGCATTCAATAAATACTTTATAACTGTAGTTGAGAATCTGGAAACGAAAAGTGCCAATAAAAATGAAGCTATTAAATTCTTAGACACTTTGAAATTTGATAAATTCCCTGAAATGAGGTTAATACCTACAACGGAGGTGGAAATAAAGAGCACACTTATGTTGCAAAAATCAAAAGATTCTACAGGATATGATGGCATTTCTAGTAAGATATTGAAATACTGTATAACTGAGATAAGTAAACCATTGTGTCACATATTTAATGCATCCTTTGAGCATGGAATATATCCTGATAGAATGAAATTCGCCTCATTAAGACCTATATATAAAACAGGTGAGAAGGCAATTATGGCAAACTATAGACCAATATCATTGCTAATAAGTTTTTCTAAGATTTTTGAAAGAGTGGTGTACAATAGGATAAAGCAACACATATATACAAACAATTTAATGTCTTTTGCACAGTTTGGATTTAGAGAAGGCAGTAACACAGAAATGGCAATATAATACATTGACTAATGATATTTTAGAAACGTTGGAAAGACACAATCATTCATTGGGAATTTTTTGTGATTTGACAAAAGCATTTGACTGTGTGTCATGATATTCTTTTGAGTAAATTAGCAACATACGGCATTGGTGGTAAAACAAAAATATGGTTGAAGTCCTATCTGGAAAAGAGAAGACAAAGAGTTGAACTCTATAATAATTAAAATGGTAAATGCTGTTCACACTGGGGAACTGTCAAATATGGAGTGCCACAGGGCTCGATTTTGGGTCCTTTGTTGTTCCTCTTATATATTAATGACCTGCCGTCAGCATTAAGTACTGACAACAAGTCACTGTTGTATGCCGATGATACAACTATATTAGTGTCAGGTATTAATATCAATGAAATTCAAGAAAGGTCTAAACTTACGTTAAATTCCTTAAGTCAGTGGTTTAAATACAATGGCTTATCCCTGAACTTGAGGAAAACTAAAGTGTTAAAATTTGAAACAATCAATCGTGACAATATGCCTGTGCATTTATAGTTTAACGATGACTTATTACAAGAGGAAACTCATATTAAATTTTTGGGCACTGAAATTGATAAGTGCTTCAATTGGAAGACACAGGTTGAATCATTGTTACCCAGATTGGGAAAGGCATGTTATGCAATATGAATTATGAAAACATATAGCAATGTTACAACACTTAAAATGATATATCATGGATACTTTCATTCACTCATGAGATATGGAATAGTTTTTTGGGGTAATTCGTCAGAGGCCAGATGATATTACTCTTACAAAAGAAGACTATTATAATAATAATGGGGATGAAACATAGAGAGTCATGTAGGCCAGCATATATAAAGTTAAATATATTAACATTGGTCTCTCAATATATTTCATCTTTGATGACTTTTATGATAAATAACTTGGAATATTTTACTTTTAATTATTCAATTTATGAGAGACCAACAAACACAAAAGAAATTTACATGTCCTACAATCACATCTCGCAATGAGGCAGAAAGGGGTCCATTGCATGAGTATAAAAATATTTAACAGTCTGCCTGGATATTTATCTAATTTAGTACATGATAAAAAACAGTTTATAAATGAAATAAGAGATGTCCTAATACATAATCCGTCATATATTGTTTATGAATTTTGCTCTTCTGTCGGGATCAACAGCTAAGGAATAGAAGGGGAGTGCATGCTGACTGATGGATGTCCCACAGTAGGCATCAATATAGACATTAAGTGTAAGTGTAAGTTAAGGAAGGAGAATTATTATGTATTGCTAATTATCTTGTTGGTATAATTGTATGTGTAACATTGTATCGATTTATTTGAGGTATTCAGTTTAGATTTTAACTATGGCTGAATTGATGTTTCTGCGATTTTATCTGTGATTGTCTTGTGACTGTTGTTTGACAAGTTTTATATTCAGTGCCAGTTGCACACTTGTGAATACTCTGAAACGCTGATGTATGTATGTATCAGAACTTGCTTACAAGTAATGCAATCCTTAGGTAGTGAAAATGAGTTATATGGCTCTATACAGCATACCCACACATGAACACACACCACACAGTGGACTCATAACAGAACAATTATGGTTTGTAATGAAAAAAAAAACACTGGTACCACCAATTTGTTAATGTTACATAGTACTCATATATGGAAAAATCTTGTATAAAACAAGACCACTTTCCTGCACATTCATCATAACAAGTGATTCCTTCTCTTCTGACAATTTTTGCACGAGCTGTCATTAAATATTTGCTTCCTAAGGTATTTACAGCTGGTGGTCTGTAAAAGTGCTGCCTTTACCTTTTTTGTGATAGGTATGTCTAGAATCTGAAAAATGTATGTCTGAATAGAGAAATTTCATGACTCTAAGGCAGAACTGATGAAGACACATGCACAGAGGCATTCTAATTCATGACTGAAAAACACATTGGCCAATGGTTGAAGGCACAAGAGGTTATGTAAGCATGAGTAAATCTTAGTTCAGATAACGCTAAAGACACTTAGAATGTTTGCATAGTGCAACAATTCTGGTGCATTCACTCTGTTATTGTAGGCAGACAGCATAAAATTAATTTTATTTAATTACCTCTGTACCGTAACTGTAGACTTAAAGCAAAACTGTACTAGGTATAAAATGTGAATTTGCTCTTATCTGCAACTTCTATTCAAAATAATTTTTGTTCTGAAAAATATTTAGTGAGGTATGCATAAGGTGTACTCTGAAATGAATTTTAGTCTTCAAAGTGCCTAACACTGCTGTTAAATTTTAATTAAAAATTACATGTTTTAACAAACTGTAGTAAAACTTTTGAATATAAAGTTTAATTAAGATCTCTTCAGTGGTTCTTCAATTATTATACTCTGACAAAGAAATATGGTGAAGCTAATACACACATTTTCCCAACTTTCTGTTGTCAATGTACCAGGAAGAATAAATACTGCCATGACTGAACTATTAGCTTCATAACTTGTACTCTTCTCCAAGTATAATTAGAATGATCAAATCAAGGAGGATGAGGCATGTAGCCCGAATGGGGGAGAAGAGGAATGCATATAGGATATTGGTGGGAAAGTCAGAAGGAAAGAGACCACTAGGAAGACAAAGGTGTAGGTGGGTAGACAATATTAACATGGATCTTAGATAGACAGTATGGGATGGTATGGATTGGATTGATCTGGCTCAGGATAGGGACCAGTGGAGGGCACTTGTGAACACGGTAATGAACCTTCCATAAAATACTGGGAAATTCTTGAGTAGCTGCACAATTGGCGACTTCTCAAAAAGGGCTCAGCTCCATGAGTGATGACTGCACTATTTTTAAACTTTAGTGTCATATAATAACATATATAATTAAAAGCTGGGTTTTAAGACTACGTATTTTAACCATTTTCTGATATTAAAAGCACTTGTTACAAGTATCTTTACGAATTTTATACATTTTCATTATATTGAGATATTACTGTGTGCATGTCTATGACAGAATTTATCATTTCCATTTCCTTTTAGGTGATTTCTTACAACATATTTACTTATTGCTCCCTTGTATAGTAGATTGTAAATTGCAAGAAATAATAATAATAAAAAATTCCTTTTAATACAGTATCATGCTACTATTACCATAGGACTGAGGCAGGAGAGACAATCATTTGAGGATGTGTGACTTTCCATTTTTCTTCAAGAGAATTTTATTTAACTTAAACTAACATACAACTGAAGAATGGCATCTTCTGGGATGTGGTGCCATATATATCTTGTGTAAACCTTCATCTTCAGGGTAGAAAAATCCGCCACCTGCTCACGCAGTTTCCTCACTCGCAGATTTTTCTACCATGAAGCCACATCCCAGAAAATGGCATTCTTCATAGGCACCGCTGCGAAAACCTCAAATCCTATCATACAACTGTCTGCATGTCACTACTTCTCATCATGCACAATAAAAATTATACCTTATACATATTTTGTAGAATGAACTAAAAATAGAGCCTTTTGAGGAAGAGAACAAACTAAAAGAAAGATTTGCTTTAATGACAGGATACTGAAGCAAATTAGTACTTTTAATTTTATATGCAACATTCAGCTGTTATACTCTGTGCTGATAAAGAAACAAAACCCATCAAGTAAAATATACAGTAATTTGAAAGTTTGTTTGTTGAATAAAATATGTTCTATAAGGCCACATGATTGGTTTCCATGCAATAGAGGAGACGTCTTAATTTCTAGCAGTGACATCTGCAAAATATTAACATTACATTAAATGTAAATGTTACGGCTAGAAATTAATTGTATACTAAGAAATCTGTTTTTAACATGAAAGCCTCTGATGATGGCCCTTTGGGGTTGTAACAAGGCATATTTTACAAAACAAGTAGAATTTCTGACTACTACATGTTATATACTTGATGGTTCTTATTACTTCATTATAAATACTTTCAATTATTTTAAATATACTATATCCTGTGAAGGGCCGGTCATGGCAGCCGAGCACTCTAAGGCATGCACTGTCTTCGCCCACTTGGAAACTGGGATCATGGGTTCAATTTCCACTCAGGGAAATAATGTTTAGTTTGTGTGTGTGTGTGTGTGTGTGTGTGCATTTTTCTGTGTTTGTGTAGAGGCCTTGTGACAAGCTGATCGCTAGCCCAAGGAGTCCTACCAAATGTCTAAGATCTAGTAACCCGAAGTGAAACTGACAGTTTCACGGAGGTAGGCCAAGGCCCAAATTGGGGCTGCAGCACCAAAGCAAAAAAAAAAAAATATATACATCCTCTGAAGGAGAGATAGATTTGAATGTAAAAATTGTAAATCCTGTTGAAATACTAGGAATTATGAATTAGATATTTAAATCATTTGTAATTTTTAAGGCACACAAGAATACAAATTTCTCTAAAGGAAAAAAGAATTGATGAGAGAAGATTAATATCGCAGAAATGTGTTTCATGAGGAGTACTATGGAACACACTCTTTCAGACTGTAAAAGAAATTGGAGAGTTATAACCACAAATAACATAATTTATGGACTACAGAAGAAATCAGAAAAAAAACGCATTGATAACATGAACTGCCTGGGTTCCAGAAAAGATTTTAAAAGTCAACCAGAATGAGAAAGAAATTTGGGAAGACTTTTGAAACTATGGAAGGATTTTCTGGGAGGCTTTAACAGGCATAATACTTGAAAGAATGAAAATGATATATATTTTATATTTCTACTTTGTGGCATCCTGTTGTTTCATTGTATGAAATATACATGGTCCATCCAGCAAATGACACTGCTGTCATGTGTCACAACCGTTTATTAATTATGATGTCATTTTGCCATTACACTGTAAATAAAAAATAGATCAACATATTTTTACTACCAAATAGTCATCTTAAGTTTCCCATGTATTATACAGTTTATGATGAATGGTGACTATTTGCATTTTATGTATGAACAAATTGATGAGTAAAATAAAAATTGTAAAATTGAAATTAAAACTGATATCATCATCATCATTAATATCAAGGTTCCCCTAGAAGATGCGCTGATCCTTCAGCATAACTTCAGGTGTCCACTGGATCTTGCTCCTTTAGATTCATAGATGCATTGTCCTTTAACTGTTCCAGAATCATTGAAGTTCCATTCTTCAACTTGATGAATCCAATTAAGAATTGAATTCTATTATTTAATACCAAATGGTTTCACAGACTCATAATATTATAATTGTAGCATCTTGCTGCATTTCATTTAGTATCAGATGGTTTCACAGTCTCATGTGCAGCACGTTTTCCTATAAAACTTACTAAAAGTTATTAACTTTAAAACTTTTACATGTTGTATCGCTTTTAACTTATTAAAAGCTATTCAAAACATGTTTCAACCTATAAAGTCATCATAAGGTGTTTTAAATTAGTTATAAATGAGGAAACTGCTGTATTATGGTTTTTGGTCGTTACTGTGCAGTCCCTTATATGCACATGTATATTTGAAGTAGCGGGTTGTTCTGCCTGTTGTGTTATACTGCACGTCCCTCTTGCTAAACTGAATATATTAGTTAGAACTAATTGATATTATAATTATTTTTATTGATTTTATAAAACTCTTAATGTTTCCTTTATCTTCTCATGATTTTTGTTAGTAGGTATGTAGTTATTAGTTATTACAATTGGTTATTAATGTTTCCACAGATCTTGTGTTTACTTATAATTGACACATGTGTATAGTGATGTGTTATCTGTATGGAGCTGGACAGGAAGTGTGCAAGAGTTTCTGATGTGTTTTATGGGAGGGTATTCCCACCAAGCATAAGATACAGTACATACAAATGACAACATAAACAAAACCATGAAAATTATAAAAGTGGCAAATACAGGAAAAAATCTATACAATTAATAGGAATATCAACTCTATTTCACATAAAAACTCTCATATGAATGATGCCAATATTGTTAACAATCCAATATTTGAAAAATCAACTTATTACCACCAGACAGCACTTCTGCCAACAAACAACTCATAAAACATACATCACCTGTGATAAACTAAAATAAAGATATTTCACAAACACAGTATGATGCTAAGATACAGAGTTTTACAAAATTAGAAAAAAAGAATATCAGCTTTAACTTCAATTTTACAATTAATATCTTATTAGCCAATTTATTTGAAAAATGCAAATAACTGTGTATCAGTTTTTGTAATAAGCTATACAATAATTGATAAATGATGTTCTATTCATTCAGACTTCCATCGAAATGGCAAAATTACATCACAATTAAAATACAATTATGATAAGTGACAACAATTCTACTGGTGAGTTGAGTTGTGTTGTGACTGTTAAGAATACCCCATATATTTTGCATGTTCTTGCAGTCTATTTTTATTGGAGAAATTACATAATGATAAGTAACTTGTGACTCAGTGCAGGCATTTGTTGTAAGCCTTGCAACAGTGTAAAACAAATGAAAAAACACACTTATACTGACACAGGTCTATGAGACTGGTAAACTTTTCAAGTGTGCTCTTTCTGTTTCAGGAAGACACCTAGCAATAAACCATGTCTGTTCAATATATCAAGAAGCAAGTGTTAAGCCAAAGGTCATAACAGTCATAGTTCAAACTCCTTAGCTGAAAAAATTTCAGCTCAAATTGTTGTGGCATAAATCACATCCTCCAACATTAAAAAAAAAGAAAGCTTCATTAAAAAAGATCTTGGTGTAATTTATTTGTAGACAGTGCTCACATTCATGTAGTGTACTACTCTAGTAACAGTCCAAACACCTTAATTAAAAAATGGAGAACACACAAACTTCTCGGTTCTGTACATGATGTAAATGCAAAGTTTCACTAATACACAGTTCTTTGCTAATTTTCTACTGAGACATTGTATATTATCTCTTGACTTCTTCACCTAAGCTATAAGTATGTGCCATTTGAACAAATAATGATGTCCTTTTTATTACAAACTCATCTCCACCAAGCTGCATATCCAGTGTACTTTCATACTTTCAGTATTGACCTTGGAGTCATCTTTATAGCAGGAGACCTAGCTTGTCCTTTCTCCTGGCAAATCTCACACAAGAAATTTGATGTTCTATCCACTTCACTACCTCCAATTGCACTACAGCACTCTGTAAAAGAAGAAACAATATGCAATCAATACCATGAACAGCTGTCTATTTCACTGGAAAGGGCATATCATAAATATGCTGGAGGGAACAGACAAATTCAGATTTGGTAAATAATTATGAAATCACAAAGACTCTTAAAGGTCTCATATCAATTCAGATATAAATCAATATCAACTTTATCACTTCCAACCTCAAAAACCCTGGAATTACTTGCAGGCTACAATTTTGATTAATTAGATTGTAGAAGAGTACTGAAACTCCAAAGTAAAAATCAAGAAACAAACATTTTAAAGTGTTGTTACAGGGGCCTTTGAAAAATCAGGTTTAAAAAAAACTTTCACAGTATTTTCTCCACACATTTTTTTATAAAAAAGAATTTTAGAAAATGAATTGAATGTAAGAAATAGAAAAATGTTAACAAATAAATACATCAAACTCGAGTTTGGGTCCCAATCTGCATGTTGTAAGATTTGAGGTTTTCACGGTGGTGACTATGAAGAAAGCAGTCTTCTGGGATGTGGCGCTGTGTAGATATTGTGTTAACATACGTTTCGGAGGAACGTATCGCCTCCATCTTCAGGGTAGAAGAAAAGAAGAAATTCTCAAGCGAACCAACGTGAGCAAGTGCAATAGACATCTTCTTTTCTTCTACCCTTAAGATGGAGGTGATACATTCTTTCAAAACATTGGTTAACACAATATCTACACACTGACACATCCCAGAAGACTGCTTTCTTCTCAATCTGCATGCTCTTTGAAAGAGAAACAACATCTTACCTTAAAAAACTGTGAATAGTTATGTACAGGCTTAAGGCTTTCTAATATTAATTTGTTCTTTCTTTCTGGGCATTACATAGCAGTTCATATGACATATAAAAAATGAAACTTCTTCTTATCAACAAACTCTGAACTCTTCACTCAGAAGATGTTTGCTAAAGATTTAAACCAGTAAAATATTCAGTATCTAATACAATACCTATGAAGCACACACCATTTTCTACACATTTCTTAATTTCTTATTAAAGAAAAAGATCATCCTTCACTTCTCTGTTACCTAGGTCAACCACTATCTTGGATTATAAGGTAATTAATACAGTCTCAAGCAAGAAAGATAACGACTAAAAGTATTTAATCAGTGTCAACAACAAAAATACTGTCACGCATTTGGGGTTGCGTGACTATTGACACGTTTTGGATTGGCTGATTGGATTCATTAACACTTTATACACACCACTCAGAACTACAGACAATTACAGCACTATCACTATCTACACACTTTACAGTTCACCATTACATACACACACACACTAGTGCTCTGTCTTCACTAGTCATATCCTGGCAAGAGATTTATAACAGTCTCAGTGTCATTATAGCATAAATGAAGTCTTCTTTTCACAGCCTAATTCCTTTCTTGCCATCTCCAGAGACTCTCTCAATTCTCCAATTCAACTCCTATGCTCCCAAGCTCATATCATGGCAGGCTGGCATCTTGAAACTCAACAGACTCAAATGATCTTCTTTGCCCTTTTCATAACCCCCAGGCACAGACTGCACAGAAAACACAGCTCCTCTATTGTTGCAAGTGGGCATTACCTAGCAATGGCTGTTTCTCCGGCTCCACAGTTCTTGCTTTGGGCAAATACACCATAATATTTCCAGTTCCTCAAAAACTGAACTTAATATATCCACAAATAACATATTGTGACATAAGTACCAAATCACTGTCCACTGTGTAATAACAGCTTGGTAAACACGTAACGATGCCTAGCCCATTTCTAAGCAAAGGCCACTACAACATTTGGGGAGATTGTTAAAAACAATGCTTCTATGCAGTCCATGCTAACATTAGGCTTGAAACTACCGAATTTATTGCATATAAATAAGTTTGAAATTTCAGTACCATAATGAACCATTCAGTACTCTCCTACCGGAAATGATGTGATGGATACTGTTGTGCACAAGAATGCCTGACTGTCTGACATTCTGGAGTCAGATCACCTACCAATCATTTTCCACTTACTGGATCATGTCAGATCTAGGTATCTTCTGGGACCAGATGACAAGTTCACAGATTGGTAACAGTTTCAAAACCTGGCCTCTGAATTAATTTCACCTAGAATCCAAATTAACTTGGGAGAAGAAACCAATCAAGCAGCCCGCAATTTTACTGCCTCTATAGCTTTGGCATATAGGCTATCAACAAGCAGAAGTACACTCTTGGAACTTATTAACAATCTACTTAGTCTGGAGAATCTTCTAAAACATAAACAGAGGCCAACGAACATGTTGCAAGTAACCCAAGATCCAGTAGGCCGCACCATAGCTCAAGTGGTTAGTCGCTGGCTTCCCACCACAGCGGCCTGGGTTCGATCCCGGGTCTGGTCAAGTGGGATTTGTGGTGTACAAAGTGGCGCTGGGGAGGATTTTCTCCAAGTACTTTGGTTCCCCTGCCAATCTTCATTCCACCGAATTCTCCATCATCATAATCATCCAGAGCAGGTACAATAGGCCAATCAGTGGCCGCCGTGCTGAGTGGACCCAGTTGGACTGCCCCCCCCCCCCCACTAAGCAAATCCATGATCCAGCAAGTAAAATGGCAATTAATTGGGTTGCCAAAACTATCAGACGAATGACCCATAGAGAGGCACTCGAATGATGGGAATAAAGTAGAGAAATGTGAGGTCACACCTCAAGCTGCTTGGCCTATTGTGAAGTCACTTATGAAAAGGGCTGGACCAATATATCCTTTGTGGTCCACCTCAGGGAGTAATATATAAAACATTTCAAATTTATTATTCAAGTAATCTTTCAAGTTCCATATGATATGGTAGATAAATTGTAGTTGATATTTTTGTGAAGTATTTATTTCTTCTATTACATAAATGAAAATCTACTTTTAGATTTAGAAAACACTGAATGATGGTACATTTTAAAATCAGTCCCGTAGTACTTATATGCCTTCTTTCAACTATTAAAAGATACTGTACATTAACTAAACATTTAATTTTGTAATACTGTGACACTGGTCAGCCCACTCTTGGGGTCACTGTTTACTATTTTAATTTACTGCATATCATTTTCACACTGGTTAGTGGTTTTAGTGTTTCTGTCAAAACTATTTAAAAAGCTTTTAAAATTTTATATAAAATAAGGTTACAGTAGCCAAGGTTAGTACCTGCGTGCATCCATTTGTCGCAGACACTGCAGTTGATAAGCCCATCTTCCTCATCAGGCTTGTTTCCATAGCAACGCCAACACAGTTGACAGTAGCGACCTTTACGCCACAGCCTGCCGGGCGAAAGCAGCAGCAAACAATGAAAAACCCAGCCACACCATGCATGCATTTCCACAAGGTTAAGACACATTATGAACAGCATTTCTACTCACTTACTCACTGTCTGTAACTAATATGGTTTCTGGCTGTTGTCAGGAGGCCAGAGATACACGATCCACACTACAGGGTGTCTTAACACTTTGCGGACCAGTGGCATATTTTTATGCCTAGCACTTTTAAACGTGGTGGACCGGTGGCATATTATTATGATTTTAGGACACGTTATGTTGAAACACGCTATACCTTGCACTGGTGCCAGGCAGACGCATGACTGGTGCGTGACAGACCTCTTGAATGTTTGCTTCGTAGTCAGTAACATGACCCAACTGTTTTCCTCTCTCACTCCAAAAGAAAATGCCTTTGTTCATCTTCCAGCTGCATGCACCAGGCAGGAAGTTACTAGTGCAAAATGGATCAAGGTTGGAAGAGGTTGAGGTCCAAGCGTTTTCTCGGAAAACAAGAAATATCTGACTTGTTCTCCGATGAGCTATCTGACATCCCTTGTGAGTCTGCTAGTGACAGCGACTCACAATCTGATAGTGAGTGTGGCAGGGGCGAACAAAAAATTGTGGCCACAGACAGTGAAAGTGACAGTAGCTCCGCCGAAAGTGCAGGTAGCAACATTGCAGGGACAGTCACATGGGGAAAAGTAGACAAAATGCCTGTTTTGGGAAAGTTTACTGGAAATCCAGGGGTGAAGCAAATTCCATCTGACCCAAATCCACAATTCACAATTCAAGCATGGTTGATGTTCAAAGGAGACATGGACAGGTAAAGAAGCCTGTTTGTCCGAGTATAATATGTTCATGAAGGGATTTGATAGAGCTGATCAGTACTTGGTCTATTATTCTCTTCCTCAGAAAACAGTAAAGTGGACAAAGAAAGTTGCTTTGTGGCTTATAAATTGTACCATTTTCAATTCATTTTTGGTTTTCAAAAATCTAAACCCTCATTCAAAACTGAAATACAAGGCATTTCTGCTGAATGTGGCAAAAGCCTGGGCTACAGACCAGATGGTGGCGGCAGACACAAACTTAGTGTGACCAGGTCCATCAACTCCCACCCCACGCAGGCCTCATGTGGAGCCCCCTGGGCAACTCTCAGGTGATATGCAGAAACATATCCTCCCGAAAATTGTGAAGAGTGAACATGCCAAGGGGAAGCAGCCTTCTAGGCAATGCCATGTTTGCGCAGTACACAACAAAAGGAGTATGACTGTCTACATGTGCAAGTTCTGTGTAATGCCACTTCACAAAGGGGAATGTTTCCAGAAATATCACACTCTCAAGCACTTCTAGGAGCATTGGTAAGTGTTCTCCAAAAATTTTAGTTCCTATATTAATTAGGAGATTTCATATTAATTTTTAAAGTGAACAGTGGACAAGTTAGGGTAGTGGGTTTAAAAATGGTGGTCCCCAGGGTGATTTTAAATATTTATATCGCCAGTTCGCGAAGTGTTAATTATATGCCTATAACAGAAGCATCATGTTCTACACGTAAAGGCAAGAGGAAATATTTGTATAAAAATATGGTCGCAACTGGTTTGTTAGCGAGATATGGCAACAATGCATATGGGAACTACAAGGTAGCACTGCAAAATGGATAACGCATTCATTCAGCCTACAGATTCACATACAGTCATCACGATTAATGTTCTGGAGTTGTGGTGTTCACTACAGCAGCCATGTTACCTATCAAAGAATGGCACAGAATGCACAGTATTCATTTGATGAAGTGACATTACTAAATGGAGAAGCAGAGTGATCCACAATAAACGCATTCAAATCACAGGACATTTACCCCTCTGGAATACTGTCTGTGAGCAACAGGTTGTATGTGGCTGAATCTGATAAATGTTGGCAGACCATGAAGCTGCAGGAGCACCAATGCTGAAGACTGGTCCCTGGTACTGGTACCAGACAGCTAGGCCATCATCACCACATTTCCCAGTGAATGGTGGTGAGGGTGCAGCATGATCAGCTGTTACACATTCCATATAATAGCAAGTTCAACATTCTACAAGAATCAAAAAGCTTTCTGCTAACTACTGTATTGAGATATGACATCTCCAAACTTTCTCAGCTGAGCATTGCTGATGGAAGAAGTGTGCTTCACATGGACTGGGATTTTGATTACTTGTAACCAGCACACATGGGCTGATAAAACCTCATTCCTTTCAAGACACACAACTCCAATAGCAGTTTTCGATAAATGTTTCAGCAGGAATAACTGGCGTTATCCTCTTAGGTTCTTATGAGCTACCACCTAGACTATCAGGGCTTCTTATTTACAGTTTCTATCTGAACAGCTACGACTAATGGATGATGTAAAATTGTCAATGCCACAGACAATGTGGGTACTGCATAATGGGGCCCATTCTTCTCACAATGTCATGCAGTATCTAGACAGCCACCACCCAGGTGAATGGATATGATGAAATGAACCAGTTGTGTGGCCTCCATGACCACCTGATCTCACACCTGCTGACTTCTACTTGTGGGACCATTTGAAGAACATTATTTACACCCAATGATGTAACTCATGGGATGATCTCTGGAATGGCCTTGAAGCAGCTGGGACAACAATATGCAACGTACCTGATGTCTTTCAGGGAACCAAGAGTTCTTGGCGCAGCAGGGCTCAGTTATGCACCGACTGTATTGGTGGATCATTTCAATGTATATGTAAACCATTAACGACTGGACACATAACATTCTGCTCACAAATAATGTACTCTTTATCCACAACTACATCACCTGTCTCCTTTTCTCTTCTTGTGCTTCCTGCTGCCATACTTTGATAACAAAGCAGTTGTGACCATATATTTATATAGCTGTTTTAGCCTGCCTATAAGCGTAGAACATAATGCTTATATTTATGGTATGTAATTACAACTCACCCTATATCTACTCATTTATGATTCGACACACTGTTTTATTAATAAATTAATAACTGTAACACATAACTGGATGCAAAATATACATTTTACTTTCATAAAGTCATACTCTTTTTTGTGCTACACAATTACTGTTAGGACAGCAGATGATGAAGCAATGAAATGTGAAAATGATGTCTGGGATTATTTATACACTGTGTAATAATTCGACTGAATTCAAATATTATTCTTGGAAAGGAAGAGAATGAACAAAAAAATATTACAATTATAAGTATGTCATCATGTGGGCTAGCATAACTTCTTATTTAAAATTTATAGGCACATTTCAGATGTTACATGTGAACATTACTGCTTCACATGAAGGCACAGGTATTTTAAGATATAAACTGATAATACAGATTAGGATAAACAAGTATGAAAGGTAAACTACCTTATAATGGTAGAAAAATGTCACTACAGTCTGATGTGACATGTATGGCCTGTAATGGGAAGTCCATTTTATGAGCATTTTCTTATGCAACATCTATTTAATCATGTTATGAATAGTAATATTACCCAATTTTAACAGGAGTATTTTTCAGACTTTTTGCATGTAGTGAGTTTTTTTTTCTCTCCTTTTGGAATTTGCATAAAAATGTCTCACAACATGATTCAATGCCTAATTTCTATTCTTCATGAGCCAAATGAGTACTACTGGCAATACAGTGATCTCATGTCTTGACTCATTAGAGGTATGAAGACTATATCTTCTGCAGACTGTAAATAAAGAATACATTCAAAATATTTTTATCTGTTCTCCACAGAAGTGTGTAGCCTGGTGCAGTCACACCAGTTACCACCCTGTAGGGCTGGCTCAAGTCATTCCATCCCCCATTAGACTAAAAAACTATATTCTGTTATTGTGGGCGGAATCAGGCAAACAGGTGAGCCCATTTGGTCAGATGATGCACAGTGAGGCAAGCAGGTCAGTTTGATGAATGGCATGGTGCAGAGCAAACTGTCTCATAAGAGTTTCACTGGTGTTTCCAGTATGGAAATCATATTTCTTGCACAATTAGTTACCACCACCATAATACTGTTTCCCTCTTTCCTTCCTTTCCCTACTCCCTATTTATAAAATCCTTTTCATGAGGAAAGTCTCAGAGTTTGGGCAAAGAACATACTGGTAAGAGTCCTGAAGAGAGTTGAGGGATGGATGACTATCATACTTGTGTGCAAACAAATCAAGCAGACCAGAAGCAGAGGAATGATTTAGTTCAAACAAAGTAGTCTCAGAGTTTGGGCAGAACGAGTTTCATTGAAGGTCCTGTAGAGAACTGAGCAACAGATTACTATCTTACTTGGTGTGTAAACAAAACCAAGTGGGCTGGAAGCAGAAGAATGGTTCAGTTTAAACACAGTCTCTACAAAAGGTACTCACTAGCTCAGGGCAGAGCCCCCATCATGAATCCTACCCATTACTTTGTAATCTTCTAAGGAAAAATTGAATGCACAAGAAATTTGCTTAAATTTAATGTACCTCATCAAAAGTCTTTGAGTAAATAAGAACTTAATATTCAGACACAATCACTTATTCGATCATGCCTACCAACCACTAATTACTTGTACAACAAACAAAGAAGTGGCACGTCACATTGTGTGTATCATTTCATTGTTTCATGGGAATCGTAGCAGCAAATTCATAGTCACAGTATCTCCTGGTGAATGAAAAGTCAGTACTGTGGTTAGGTGATGTGTTCCTGTAGGTTCCGTGATTCAGCAGTAGTAAGAGACATGACACTGTGTATATAGTATGAAGTGATCAAGAAACTGCACATCAATGAAAAAAAGAAATCCAAGCATAAATATTCATAAGTTAAGTCCTAAACACACTCATAATTTAGCATTAAACCATACAATCACACCACCTGTTTGACAGTAAGAATGTATGGACAATGATTCCCTCTACCAACATCTTGGCATTCAAAGCAAGCACATCTACTGTTACTAAACTCATGTGACACTTTTTCTTCTGTGTATCAACTTTAAATTTGGCAATACCACTCATACATAATTTTTGCGTTACAAAAAATTATCAATTCTCTTATAAATTTCTGCATTTTCACTGAGTATGGACAGGTACCTGATAATATTGTCACGTGTTGGGTATGTTCCGCAACAAATAACTTCATGTGGGTTTCGGATTTAGCGAATCTTTATTGGACACTCACTCTTACACACCTTACAATTATTATCACTTGCAATATCACTTGACTTCTGGCCCAATACTCAAATGCAACGTCTCAACTATCCTTGACCGTGGTTGCATCTCAACTGTCTCTGGTGGTGGCTATCCCAAGATTGTCTCGTTCCCATTTCAGTGTCATCTCTGGCTCAGCATTTCTCAATTCATTACATGCAGACAGATGGCTGGGCAAACATTACAAAGCTAATATGGGCATTTTCATAAGTTTCCATTGTAAAAGTGCCACAAAGAATATATAGTTTGGTGCCTGCATTTTTTTTATCTTCATGCCATTATATTATAATTATATAATCAGAAGCTGAGCTTGAAGAGTATGTTATTCAACCATTTTTTGATATTATAAGTATGTGTTATCACAATTTTCTTAATTTTGTGAATTCTTATTGCATCAAGGTTGCACTGTATTTCTTCTACATCTTATGAAGAGCAAAAGACTGCAATGAATGTGTGTGTGTGTGTGTGTTACATTCAGTTTCTGAAATGTGCCAATTTATCTGTACAATTTCTGAATTTATTACATAATATTCTTACATGAATATTTCAGTCACAATATTTACTTGCATACCAATCATCCTCATGTATGATGTGGGCCCCTATTTCTGGGCCATAATTCAGAAAAATAAAAAATGCTGTAAAGAAATTTTCGAGTAGACATTTCTTGTAGAAATAGTTTAATTAATTATAGAAGTATCAAGGCACAGTTCAGATATTTGGGAATAACGATAATAGATCGAAACCTGATTCAGGAGGAAATTAAGAGGCAATTGAACTCGGGTAATGCTTGCTACCATTCAGTCCAGAACCTTTTGTCTTCTCGTCTGCTGTTCAAAAACAAAAATTAGAATATACAAAACTCTAAGTTTGCCTGTGGTTCTGTATGGGTGTGAAACTTGGTCTCTGACATTAAGGGAGGAACATAGACTGAGTGTGTTTGAGAACAGGGTGTTGAGGAGAATATTTTGACCGAAGTGGGATGAAGTGACAAGAGGTTGGAGAAAACTGCACAATGAGGAGCTTCATAACTTGTACTCTTATCCAAGAATAACTAGAATGATCAAGTCAAGGAGGATGAGGTGGGCAGGGCATGTAGCATGAATGGGGGAGATGAGGAATGTGTAAATGATATTTGTGGGAAAGCCAGAAGGAAAGAGACCACAGGGAAGACCAAGGCGTAGGCGGGTGGGCAATATTAAAATGAATCTTAGAGAGACAGGATGGGGTGGCATGGATTGGATTGATCTGGCTTAGGATAGGGACCAGTGGAGTGCTCTTGTGAACATGGTAATGAACCTTCGGGCTCCATAAAATGCTGGGAAATTCTTTAGTAGCTGCAGAATTGGCAGTTCCTCCAGAATGGCTCAGCTCCATGAGTAAGTAAGTAGAAGTAACAAGAATGAAGACATAGAGTATATTACTCTAATACTGTTTATAATGGTGTCATCCAGTGAAGTCTGCAAAGTGACTTCAAAATGATCAGCATCAGTAGTTGTAAGTTGCCATTACTTCTTGGTAAACTCAATAAAACAGAGAAGAATCATAATGTACAATGCATGGCATGTGCAAAATGAGAAAGCAGAACTATATCACACATTATTTTTAGTTTCTCACCCACTAAAAATGATCTCAATCTCTTATTCATCTCAGAAATGTACAACAATTTCAACTTGGATAACAAATGTCTACTCCTTATGAATACTGATGCCAACTCAACTGGCTCCCATGGCTACACCAGTATGACTATGAAAGTCAAATTTCTTTCTACTACCAGAAGGAGTAAAACTAAAAAGAGGTTAGGGTGTGTGTTACTATGTGAACAAATAATACTGCAACAAATTATCAACATTCAAATATATTTTTAAAAATGAAAAAACCCCTGTAAGATGTGCATCCTGTTGTTTTTAACACTTATCTCATGATAATGGTGCACGTGGTACATGAGTGAATACAGCACATACTTAACAAAATAAACTTTGAATATTTCTCTGTGTACTGGAATACCTGCATAATTTTTGTCAATAATAATTCATTGTCAGGCAAACATGGTCACAAGATTTATGGGGATGGGTTCATGTAAATGCAACAAAATTAGAAGAGACTGATCTTACATGTTAGTTGGATGCAGCTGATTATGGTAGAAGCAAAAAATGAATGTCAGTTAAAATGCCACAGCTGGAAATTGTCAGAGAACTTAGAATTAAATTCTGATGGTAGGAACAGGTTATGGAAATCTTCTGTGAGGACATGATTTAGTTTGTGAAGGTCAGAATGATGGGTAGGTGACACATTAAATCGATGAACACCCCAAATCTGTTGCGAGCCATGTGATCATTCCTTCCTTGTCTAACATTTCAGATAATGATTTAAATCTGTGTGGAAATGCAGAATATGAAATGGTACAAGTAACCACACATAATACGATCTTCTGTTTTAAGGTAAAATGTACTCTGGTAAGTGGTTACCAGCATTCTGCAGAAATATACAGCCATCTTCGGCGTGTAATACTGAAAGAAACATTTCTTCCTTGGAGGCAGCATGTGCCTCTGAAAGAATGGTAACCACCTACCATACTACATGGTATCCTAACCAGTTAAGATCACAATATGAATATTCATCATGCTGAAAACCTCAAATATCAAATGGTACATACTTTTAGAATACTGAAATAACACTATATATGTATATATATTTTGGATGGTACAATGTTTGGAAGGTGAGAACATTATTCAAAAACTTCTCTAACAAATCATACAGCAATTTCTTGACTTAACATGCATCTGTTTCTAGTTAGCACAAAAATACATAAAATTAATTACACATAGATGTATTTGCAATACTTACTTTGAGCAAGGGACGCAGAGAGTCTGGGCATAAACACGAGTTCCTTTTTCGCCTTTCTTGTACTAGTAAACGAAAAAACAAAAATTTATAAATTATAGAGCTTACTCTATTACTATTGCTTATTAATTTATTCCTGTTAGCTAGCCATCTCACATGCAACTTGCCTTTTAAAACTTTTAAGAGGTTTCAACATCAAAATCTCTTCTACATCACTGGTTTATGCACACTACATGTTTTGACCAACATTGGTCATCTTCAGGTGTCTTTAAAACTGTTGATGAAACTGCTGTGCTTCTGTCTGTAAATTCAATTTTAATGTTTAAAACTTTTAAAGATTGTCAAAAGCAAGTTGCACGTGAGATGGCTAATTAACAGGAATAAAGAAGTGATGTACAACAGGACGCTACAAAACAGTACTGTCTATGAAGATAACAGAGTAACAGAACCTAACAGAGTAGAACAGCAATGTTAAATTCATGTATCAGCCAGGGCACCCACTATCCTGACAGGTTCTTCATGGCTTTCTTCAGTCCCTCCAGATAAATTACAGGCCAGTCACCTTAACCCTTCGAGAGCCAAACCCCAACACAGAACTCTTGGCCAGAAATGTTATGGTCTCTTGAGAGTAAAAGTAGTTGCTCGTAAAATACAGAATGCTTTCCTCAAATGACTTTCAAACATCTAAAATATATGTGAAAACCTGTTCTTTCCCTCACACAATTTTAATGTAATAAGCAACCAACCAAACAGCTAACTAACCAGCTAACCAAATAACATACACGATGTTGAGAAGTCATATATATCAGTACACTATGATCGATTATGAGAATATTACAGAATATTTTTATGTGATTATGACTGTAAATCGTGGGTTGGGTGTGTGGGAAGTAAAGAATAAAAAACGGACACAAGCACTCATGGGCCATCACCATTATGGGCATATCCTACCCTCCAAGACTGGACATCCTAAAAGTTCTTAGGCAAGATCTTTCAATAACAGATGACTTGTGCATTCCTGTAAGAACAACTTATACTCTCAGGGCTGAGGAGAATAACAAATTCAAAAAGACGCATGTTTTCTTTCATAAGCAGATAAGGTTTGTGTCTGACCACTTAACTATATGTATTATCATCTAAAATACTAACTACAATAAATGGTTAAGGTTATATAAAGAACCAAACTCTACAAATTCTATACATACTAGCATCATATGTAAGAAAACATTTAATAGTTCCCAATGTATCGACAGTTCCACTCCTAAAATTTAGTTATGTAATTTTTTTTTGAAGTCAAACTCAAAGACAATATTTAATGACCTTGAAAAGTATTTTTTATGCTAACATAGTAGTGCCATAAGGAAAAATTGCCTGATCAATGGAAGGAGTCTATTATTGTACCAGTTCACTAGTAGGGTGATAAGACCGATTGTAGTAATTATAGGGGGATATCACTGCTATCAACTTCATACAAAATTTTATCCAATATTCTTCTCTCAAGGTTAAGTCCATATATAGATGAAATTATTTGGATCATCAGTGTGGGTTTCAACATAACAGATCAAATACAGAGCAGATCTTTTACATTCATCAGATATTGGAGAAAAAATTGGAGTACGATGAGACAGTACATCAGCTATTCATTGACTTCAAGAAAGCCTATGAGTCAGTTATGAGGGAAGTATTGTACAATATTCTGATAGAGTTTGGGATACCATGAAACTAGTTAGGTTGATTAAAATGTGTTTAAACAAAACGTATAGTGAAGTCCGTGGAGGTAAATATTTGTCTGATAAATTTCCTATCCAGAATGTTCTAAAACAAGGAGATGCTTTATTGCCATTCCTTTTCAACTTTGATTTAGAATATGCCATTAGGAAGGTCCAGGGAAACCAGGCAGGACTGAAATTAAATGGGACACATCAGCTGTTGGCCAATGTTGATGATGTGAATCTATTGGGTGATAATGTAGATACCATAAAGAAAAACACACAAACTTTAATTGACGCAAGTAAAGAGGTTGGTCTAGAAATAAACACAGAGAAAACTAAGTATATGTTGCTGTCTCGTTACCAAAATGCAGGCCAAAATCGTGACATAAAGATAGGAAACAGATGTTTTTAAAATGTGGCACAGTTCAGATATTTGAGAACAATGATAACAGATCGAAACCTGATTCAAGAGGAAATTAAGAGGAGATTGAACTCGTGTAATGCTTGCTACCATTCCGTCCAGAAACTTTTTTCTTCTCCTCAGCTGTCCAAAAACATAAAAACATACAAAACTGCAGTTCTGTATGGGTGTGAAACTTAGTCTCTGACATTAAGGGAGGAACATAGACTGAGGGTGTTTGAGAACAGGATGTTGAGGAGAATATTTGGACCGAAGAGTGATGAAGTGACAGGAGGTTGGAGAAAACTGCACAATGAGGAGCTTCATAACTTGTACTCTTATCCAAGTATAATTAGAAGATCAAGTCAAGGAAGATGAGGTGGGAAGGGCATGTAGCACAAATGGGGGAACGAGGAATGCGTACAGGATATTTGTGGGAAAGCCAGAAGAAAGAGACCACAGGCAAGACCAAGGCGTAGATGGGTGGGCAATATTAAAATGGATCTTAGAGAGACAGGATGGGATGGCATGGATTGGATTGATCCGGCTCAGGATAGGGACCAGCGGAGGGCTCTTGTGAACATGATAATGAACCTTCGGGCTCCATAAAATGCTGGGAAATTCTTGAGTAGCTGCAGAATTTGCAGCTCTTCCAGAAGGGCTCAGCTCCATGAGTAAGTAAGTAACATAGTAGTACAGTGGGTCACCATGAAGGTTATTTAATGAGCTTCAAAGTGAGCCCAAATTCATCTCTGTATGTTATGTAGAACCGAAGTTATTTTAAGAGTTTAAATGGCAATACTTGCAGAAATATTTAAATACATATCTGGCAATTTGCATATATTCATTTCTGATGTGTAACTGGCATGTACATCAAATATGACTGAAATCACATAAGGTAAGGTTGAAAACACACTTCATCATGTTAATTTGCCACAGACCAATACTCTTGCTTTTAGTCACTGACATGTTACTGTGCCTTATTTTCACATAAGTACAATATGTATGACATATTACGACTGCATAATTTGCAAGAAATAATATTCATGTTCTCCAAATTTAACTGTAACTGGAATCATGGTATAAATAGTTAATGAAACTGTGATTACAAGGAGTGTCCAGTATGTAGACACAATTTCAGTCCTGCACAATATCAATGATTACAGTTCATAGTATTACAATATCATTGTTTTCTCTGTAGGCCATTGATCTGTTCAGTTCTGTCACTTTCTGATATATCTGGAATTTTGCCTTAAACAAAAAAAAAAGCCTATGAAAGCTCATAGAAATATTTTTGTAGAATAAATAGGCATTTTACATTCCCACTCTTTATATTTACTAACAGAAATAGAGCACAATCTATTACCTCATGCTGCCATTGGGCATTGGGTGTGTCTGGATTGTTTCCTGCTGGCTCCTGTGTCCCACATGAACCACACACCGCACACTCCTTACAATGCCATCGACCACTTGGAACTCGACGCAGTCCGACACAGTATATATGATACCTGAATCAATTAACATTGTATGATATGTCTTATATGAGATTTAAGTTTTTCATGGTGATAAATATCTAGATGGTCTCTTTGGATACGATACCACATAGCCTTTGACTATCTGAAGAGGGATGCAGCATGTTCCTCCAAAACCTCTTACCAGACAACATGGTGTGACAGTTCAAAAGACCACAACCTACAAAATAGGTAAGTCCTACCTATATTATTAAATTTGTTTATTCATAAAGTTAATAAACTCTTACTTACTGTTGTTGTGTACCGCAAATTTTCAAAGAAAGAAATTTTTTAGACAAACAAAAATCTTTATTTTTATAAACAAAGTTTTTCTAAGTTAGCAAATTTAACTTTTATCCTACGGGCATTTAAATTCCGGTAAGGGCAGTGGTACGGAATAAATTTAAATACCCGCGATTATAAAGCCATAAAACTGGAATCATTTACTAAATTTACTCCTATTTCTGCAATTTCTGTGATAAACAAACAAAATAAACGCTGTTTTTTTCTCGAAAGAATATAGAATCAGATATTGTAATTTACAGATTGCATAAAACATGTTAAGATTTTTACACTGGCTCCAAATAAGAAATTCCCCAGTTTTGTTAGTTTCTCTACAAGAATTCATAGGTTCTCGGAACGCTTGAATGCAGGCAGATGCATGACCACTTGTGCAAGTTGGCAACACAGCGGATGTTGTGTCTATAGAGTTTATCGGAGTCTAAATGACGTAGTTCTTTTAGACTGAGGACAGTGGGCGAGTGATATAAACTCAGTGTTGTATATTCGAGCTCTGCTACACAATATGTTTTACTGTTCTTATACAGTTCAAGGCTAGCATTCTTTATGCATGCGTTGCTGTACCGACACACAGCATAATAGCATCGTGGCCAGAAGCGTTCAGTCGAGTGTAATTTCAAAGTTCGATCGTACCATGTGGTCGTGTCGTTTGGAATATTCTGACATATTTCAGCTCATCAATGACTCCGATTCAGATTGCTGTACTGACAATTCTGAGAGTGACGTTGAAGGTAGCGAATCATAAAATGATTTTGAAGAAGACCCATCATCTTCGTCGGCAACCTGGGGACCACCACACCAGCGTGGCACGAGGAGTGTGAATAATTATTCAGGTGGAGCTGTGGGCAAACTGTGGCAAACAGTTATAGCATCTCTTGTCGAGCCTGGAAATGGACAAATAAGCTATTTTTCCATCTCCTTGATCTGAACAGTTACATCCTGTTGTCACACAGAGAATTTCGTCTCGCTCTTGTGCAGAACATGCTGGAAGGGGTCCACCTCGCCATCAACGGCCAGGGGTCGAACCCCTGCCGTTTTATGGGAGATATCTCGATTATAGAAGGCCAAACCACATCACTGGCCGACTTCCTCTACTTCGCAATTGAGGTGTCGTGTGTGCTTTTCGCGTGGGAAACGAAAGACCGTCCGGACAAAGTGCGTGAAGTGCGAAATCGGACTCTGCATTTCCGGATTTTTTTGAGAATTCCACACGAAGGCAACATTCCGGCAGATGACGCAGGTGGGAAGACAGACCCTCCATGCAGATGGTGGGCAAAAATTATGTAAGTAGAACATCATTTTCTACGTTAAAATTGGATTTTATATAACGTTCGCACGCGCGGACTTTGCAACCCCATATGGGGTCATTCGTACCGCTGACTTATTTTTTGCGACCCCATATGGGGTCTTTAGTAGTTTAAAGGTTAAACTCTGCATAATTGTATCTTAAATTTGCTTTGTTATATTTCTAGTTGACACCAACAAATCTGATCACCTTTATATACAAATATACACAGTATATTGGCCAAACTTCTGGAGTGTGTTCTACATGTCATTTTGAGCACAAATTGGCCAATAAACTATAGGTTGATTCGATGCCATTATTGAGTTAAGTGTTACTGAGGTGAGATGGAACTGCTGTAACTTGATGGAGTCCTTGTGGGTACACTGTCTAGGCTAGTGTTGCTGTACTGTGCTGCATGGTGGTCACAGTCAAAATGCCCAATACATTTACAAGTGCTGACATGCATTCTGTACATGGTTTCTGCAATGGAAGTGATACAGATGCTGTAGTGGAATACCAGACAACAATATCCACTTTGCAGAATTCCACATTGCAAAACAATTGGGAATGCACATAGAACTTTGAGGGAGAGTCGTTCCTTCCACCAAGCGAATACATAAAGTGATCAATGACAGAATGGAGATTATGATGTTCTGGCAGCAGTGCAACGAAGCCCAAGTGTGAGTATACACAGAATTTCCAAAATGACCGATATAGCAGGGACACAAGTACAGAGGATTTTGTACTATTATGGATCCTATTCACATCATCTCCAAAGAGTACAACATCTCTTACCAGGAGATCATGCTACATATGATTTTGTGAATGGCTGCAACCATGACTACACATTGTGAGATATTCTCTTCATGGATGAGGCCCACTTTACCCAGGACAGTTTTACCAACACAAGGAATTCACTATCTTAGAACACAAAAATCCACATGCAGTATCAGAATGTCTTTTTCAACATTAATTTTTCAATTAATGTGTGATGTGGAGTATTAGGCAATAACCTAATGCACCAAATGTTACTGGAGGACGTTTAACAGCTCCATATCACAGGAACTTTCTGGAAAATGAACTACCACTGCATTTACAGGCTGTGCCTCTTGCAACATGAAAACAAATGCAGCTGGCTGCAACATGAGGCAGCACTTCTGCATTTTGTCAGAATGGTATCAGATTTCTTGAATTAAAAGTATGAAAGAAGATGGACAGGAAGAGGTGGACCAATGGATTGGCCCATTTAGCCTCTAGATTTTAATTTATTAGATTGCTTTCTGTGGGGTTGCATGAGGTCAAGAGTGCATTATAGTGATACACAAGAAGCAAGGTATCAGGCCACAACTGCCATCAGAAATGAAATGGGATGCATGCAGTGGGAACATTCAATAACGTAACAATTGGAAGCATGAAGGCAGTCCAATGGTGGGCATTTAGAACACATGTTGTAATAACATTTAAACTCAACAGTTGTGTTTAAAATGATGGTAATAAAGGTGAGCTGAAAAGACCTTTCTTTCACCAGTGTTATGCTTAACTCAATAATACTGTCGAACCAACCTACAGCTTGTTAGATTTTTTGCTCCACATGACCTGCAAAACATACTCCTGAAGAATGCTGTCTTCTGGGATGTGGTGCCATGTAGATATTGTGTAGAATGACGTTTCATAGGAACGTGTTGCCTCCATCTTCAGGGTATAAAAATCCACGAGTGAGGAAACAGCATGAGCAGGTGACTGCAGATGGCATTCTTCATAGTCACTGCTGTGAAAACTTCAAATCTTACATGCTCCTAAAGTTTGGATAACATAGCATGGAACACTTGTATATATACATATACATTTTTAAATACCAACAGTAATGAAAGAGAATGATCAAGTCAAGGAGGATGAGGTGGGCAGGGCATGTAGCACAAATAGGAGAGGCGAGGAATGCATATGGGATATTGGTGGGAAAGCCATAAGTAAAAAGACCACTGGGAAGACCAAGGCGGAGGTGGGTGGACAATATTAAAATGGATCTTAGAGAGACAGGATGGGATGGTATGGATTGGATTGATCTGGCTCAGGATAGATACCAGTGGAAGGTTCTTGTGAATATGGTAATGAACCTTCGGGTTCCATAAAATGCTGGGAAATTCTTGAGTGGCTGCACAATTGGCAGCTTCTAAGAAGGGCTTAGCTCCATAAGTAACAGTAATGAAAGCATACCCTCTATCACACATGTCACAGAACAGCATCTTATCTTCATCAGCTGGGTCTTTACACTGGATGCAGGTCTTGCAGTCTGTACACTGCCAATCATACCGTCTGATATGAGGGACCATGTCCAGGGTGAGGTCCAAACAGCTTGGATGACCTACACAAGCGACAAGGGAAGACGAAGACTGTAGTTACAATCTGATATTATTAGGGGTGAACAAATCACTTAAGATGAAATGGTCAGGGACTATAGCATATACGGAGAAGATGAGGAATGCACACAAAACAGAAAGGTAGAAGCGATGAAACCATCTGGAAGACCCAGAAGTAGATGGGAGGATAACATCAGAATGAATTTAAGGTACAAGGATGTGGAGTGGATTCCTCTGTCTCAGGACAGGGTCTAGCAGGAAGCCCTTTTCAATACAGTATGACACTTCAAATTTCATATAAGACTGAAAATGTGTTGCTTGCTGAGTGACTATTAGCATCTTAAGAAGTACTTTACTCCATGAGTTGGATTTTATGTTTGTTTTCACCTGTTTACTGGCTTCTTGACACATTCCAGAACACAATAAACATACATAATTCCCCTCTCCAGCAAATATGTTTAGGAGGGGAGGGTGAGCTGCAGTACATTGAACTTTTCCATTTCTCTTGCCACTCCAATTATCTTTGCTTCCTTTGTGGCCTACTGCAGGTAGCAATGGTTACTATCCTGCTGTTATGTAATTTAATCAAACTTACATCGAATACTACTTTGCATTAGTGTTATGTTCAACTGGAACTTCATTTGCACCTGTAACTCATTTCCCCTGCAAGAATACTGGATGTTGATACTCTATTAATTCATATTTTGTACTCTATGCTGTTGGTATGCAACCCAGAAGCTCTAAAATCTGTGTTAATGTGATTTCTCTGCAAAAGATTCTTGAAGTGCATATTTCATAATAAGGATAACTATTCTCCACAGAGCCATCTGCCTCCAAAAAGAGAAAATGAATGGGGTGGAAGAGGAAGAGGTTCACCCGAGGGTGACAGCACTGCCATAAACAGAGAAACAGAAACTTAAGATGGCAAAAGTAATGAAGGCTCTACTGAAAATGGCAACAATACAAGACTTCACTTATGCAGCCTAAATGAAGTACAATGAATTATGGAATTTACCATTTGGACACTTCAGGCTTCTACTGTGGTGTGTATATTCAACTTAATTATTTTTAACTGTAACACAGATGTAAAGAATAGGGCTTTTCCTATCAATGCCTGCAGTATAGCCCAAACTCTTAACACCTGGCGCTTTAGTTCTTTCTTTGACCTGTAATTTTACATCCAAAGCAGAAATGTCTGACTCACCACTGGATGTGCACTGTGCACAATGAATAAGAACCTCTGGATGGCCATCCTTGTTCTTGGTGTGGTCTCCACTGCATACTTTACAAATTGCTCCTTCACGATCCTTATCCTTCTTCTCCTCCTTCACCTTGACAGAAGTTGTCTGGTCCTTATCACCATCCTTATCTCCAGATTCTTGGTTCGACTGATCCTGACTGTTTTCAGGATCTGCATCACCAGTTGTTGAACCCGTCTCCTCCGTGTCCTGAGTCTCTTCACTCGATGTGCTACTGTTAGAAGAAAAAGATGTGTCAGTTTAAAACCTAATAATTGTGAAATAAAGTGGAGTTATTTTATTCATCATCACCAATCACACCAAAAAAAAAAGTAATGTGCTCTCCATACAATGAAAGTACACAGGAACGAATATCACTCATGAAAAAGCTCAGCTGTAACAAGAACTGCTTTACACATTAAAATTTAACTACAGTAGAAATAGTAATGTTTCATTGTTTACAGGTGTCCACTAAGGCAACACAAAACTGAACGATGTTCAAAAAAATTCCTCATACTAAATAGTTATGGCATAAAATATAAGACTGTATTATCATTAACATAAAATCAGTTTTTTAAAGGTTGGTTTATATTTAATACAATATAAACCAAAGTATTTTTCTACTAACTCTCCCATTTTACATTTCATCCATATACATGGAATGGTTTGAGGGATGAATCACAAAGATAAAAGGGGCAGAAAAGACCTATAAATAACAATCTGTTTGATGTGCACACATACTAACAAAATACTTCTATAGAGCGAAGTCTTCCTTGAAAAGCTAGGAGTTGCTTAGCTACTCAAGAAACTCCACTTCTCATTGTATCCACAGGTTCATTACCATGTTCCAAAGCTCTCATCACTTCCATATTCTGAACCTGATTAATCTAGCCCACACACTCCTAAGGTGTTCCTTTAAGACCCATTTTAGCATTGTAACATTTATTTTATTTGGAATATTATTTCAGATTGCCATGGTCTTGATGTCAGTTTATTTTGATTCACTGCTATGTCACTGAACAGCACTGTGCTCTTCTCTTGCACTTGAGTTGTCACTGATGGCCCTCAAATCATTGCTTATTTTTTGTTGTGCAGTTTACTACACATAAATGATGCACACCACTTCTAAGCAAAGATTTGCTGAACTTTCTAATTCCACACACTTTTATTCCAGTGTAGAGTATTCCCAAACCTTCAAGTAGGATCTCAGTCAACATTAGATTCCACAAACATTCCAAAAGGGGGGGGGGACTGTAGTATTGCTTGAAACAGCTGCACATGCAATGCTCCCACCTCCCTTCTCAATGGCAAAGTGTTTAATAATATAAACTCCACTCTACTGAATACTAGGCATCTGTGACACAATATATAATAAGTATGAAAGGGGAATTCAAATGACTATTACCAGATAATTATGACAATGAAGAAATGAAATCTTGCCAACACTACATGACCTTGGGGATATGGAAGTTAAGCTGACCTGTGACAATATTCTGACTCTTATCTAATAGTCTTTACGACTAATGAAACAACTGATGAAGAAGACATAGCTTTATTTGTGCTCCTAGTCTACCCTGCACATTTAGAAAAGAAAGAAAGAAAGAGTGAAGACAGTAGTACCACTATAACAAATAACGTACAGCAATCTTTGTCATGCAGGAATTATCAACTGGTGGTCCTACAAGACACTAGTCATTCTGTTTGTATGGCTGGAGTGATAGAAATTGCAATATTAAGACAATGACAATGAATTTTGGATGAGGCCGCACCATAGCTCAAGTGGTTAGTCACTAGCTTCCCATCACAGTGGCCCGGGTTTGATCCCGAGTCTGGTCAAGTGGGGTTTGTGGTGGACAAAGTGATGGTGGGGCAGGTTCTCTCCGAGTACTTCGGTTTCCCCTGCCATCATCATTCCACCAACTGCTCCATAATCACCCTTACCTATCATCTGGGGCTGGGACAATAGGCCAGAAGTGGCCGCGGTACAAGGGACTTGGTCCCACCCCACTAGCAATAATAAAAAAAAAATTCTGGATGATATACATGATGATGAAATATCTGAAAAGTGGTGTGTTACATGCAATGCATGGCAACAACTTTGTTGTCACTGAGGGGGGTAGGGTCAAACACAGAAATCTAGGGGCTACATAATAGCAAGCTATGGTTTCATGCTTACATAAAAGTTGGCAATCATACTCTAAACCCAACAAATGTGTGCATTACTTAAGAAGCTTAGACACAATCTGTCTGAAATTATACACAAATCATGGGACAGGCAATATGCTAAGATGCAAGTTATGCAATTTATGAATAAGAATGTGGGTAAAATACAGTATTTATTTTCATTTTCTGAATTTGCTGCTTTTAATTAAAACAGAAACATAGATTACTTTAATCATGATATTCCTCACCAATGGACAAAGCTTATTAATTTTACACTTCGTACCTGTATCATATTAACAGTTTCTCTTGAAAGATAGCTCCTACCTTGAGTCATCAAATGAACTTGAATCATCAGAGTCTGACTGACTGAGATCAGAACAAGCACCTGGTTCTTGCCTTTCGTTGGGCTTCATTGGACCATACACAACTGTGCTCAGTGGAAAGTACCGCAGCTCTGTTGGAGTATAGCTGCAATACATAGCAACTTATCATAAACTTGGTAAAAACAGATATAATTCAAGTATGACTCTTGCAAGCTTTAAATTACAGCAACGTTTCAATTGCTATCACCTCTTATAGTAGTCGGTATACTGGCCAGGGATGAGTGACAGTGGGTATGGTCCTGGTTTAGTTGGTTCTTTGGAAAGAGCTTTAACACGTTTGTTGTAGGGATAATGAATGGTGAAGCTCTGAAGATCAAAACAGCATCGGCGCTGATCTCTACGGGACCGATTAAAAGTCGAATTCCATGTAGCAGCCGATCTTATAGCTTTATCCTTGTAATCCAATTTATTCTTCTCAACATTTGTGGCAGATGTGACACCTAAAAAGAAATAAGAAAACAGAACAATTTAGGACTGAAAATATAACTGACATTTTTCATACATGGAGGAGGTGAGAAATGTGCATATCATTCATCAGAGATCACTTGGGAGAGCTCGTGACAGATGGGAGGGAGGTTATTAAAATATATTGTAAAGGAATAAGATGAGAGTGTATACGAAGGGGTACCCAAAAGAAACCGAACTAATTTTTTTGTGGGCAGAGCTTTTGTAGTACCGCGTTTTGCCGCTATGAGCGCATAGAGCTAACATTCCTGAGTCGATAAGCCGTCTACTGTTGCTTCAGAAGGTAAGGACTAGTTTCGGCAGAGTTTATAGTGACAACTGTTTTGTGTGATCGTCATTTTTGCAATGGCTGATTTTCGTGAACAGCATGCGGCGGTGAAATTCTTTTTGCTCGGGAAAAGTGGAACAGAAACTCTTGAAATGTTAAAAACGGCATACAAGGACGATGCTATGGGGAAAACTCAAGTGTTTGAGTGGTTTTCCCGTTTCAAAAATGGTGAAATGTCAATTGATGACAAACCTCGTTCTGGTCGTCCTTCCACGGCCCAAACACATGAAAATGTTGAAAAAATTCGTGAAATCATAAGGAAGATCGACAACGGACCACTGAAGAAATTGTGGAGCTGTCGGGAGTGACTTGGAGCTCAGCGGCCAGATTTGTGGCAGTCGGGTGACTGGCTTTTCCATCATGACAATGCCCCTGCTCACACAGCCCTGTCTGTACGACAATTCTTGACCAAAAATGGTATGACCCCTGTTCCTCACCCTCCATACTCACCTGACCTTGCCCTGTGCGACTTTTTTTTGTTTCCTCGAATGAAAAGAGACATGAAAGGAAAAAACGACGGAGGCGCCGTCAAGCATCTCAAAAGATGAATTTAGACAATGTTTTGAAAAATGGAATAAAAGACTAGACAAGTGTATTAGTGTAAGTGGAGAGTACTTTGAAGGGGATTGAAGGTTTGTGCTTAAAATTTGAATAAATAAGTTTTAAAAAAAATAAGTTCGGTTTCTTTTGGGTACCCCCTCGTATATACCACACATTTCTGTCAAAATAATGACATTCATTTACCTGAGCCAACTCCTGTAACACAGTATACATTCAGTATAGCCCAGATAATGGGAACTGTGTTATACAAATGTGGTACAGTCAAATATCAACTGCCAAAAACTTTTAGAAAATCAATGCAGGTTAATACCTTTCGGCTTGGTTGTAAAATCCTTGGTCTGACGATCCCTCATGAAGCGACGATACTCTTCATATTTTTCTTGGAAATCTGAATACATGATGTCCAGAATTTCAGAACTGTTTACTGCTGTCAGCCCTTAAAACACATACAAAATATATGTTACATTACAAATACTTTGCAAATAATCAGGTCAATAGTGTTAAACACTGTGTGTCTGTGTGTGTGTGTGTGAGTGGGTTCAGACACAGGTCAGCATCAATGGCTATATGTGCCTGGATAAAAGCCAGAGTAGATCACCTTTTACTAAATCCAGCAAAAAATTAATTAGAAGCAAATGTGTGTCAGACCATAAAGTGGTCTAACAATTGGTAAAAAGGTACAGTAAAACAACAAATATTTCATTAAAAAAGTTCTAATAAGAACGGCCACATATTGGACAACAGAACTCTTAAAAGAATGAAGATAAAATGGATTAACCTTTAACGTACGGACTTTTAAATTGCCGGGAGCCCCCTGCGGCCAGTATTTAAATCACCCTGATTAATTAAATTTGCAAACCATCAGAAAAAAATCCATATTTTCCGTTCTATGCAACATAGAAATAAAAACTAAAAACAACCTGAAAGACAATAAATTTTTCTACATGTACACAGAAGAGCAATTTTTACAAATGAAAATTAACTGTGATTATTTTGTCATGAATTGCAAAATGTAATCTTTATTATATATATCATGAAATTCCAAAGGACTTACACGTTGTTTATTCTTCAGCCTTGAATCATGGTGATATCGTAAATATAATCATACTATATACTCGTACAATAATATTTTGTTCAGACTGTACGCGAGTTTGAACTGCGTCACTTCACAGTTTATGATAACTCACACTCGACGCGCATGTACTACTTGTCGAAGCAGTCCAACATTCTCGAAGCAGCCGAACCCACACAGCGCAACATGACACTTACGTGCTTCTGCGCTTCTTATTCTGAGAACAAATATGTCTTAGTTTCCCTTTGGTTGGCCAGTGTTGTGGATGTTTCACCTCCAGTCGACTCAGTTGGGCCCCCTGATAAATTTGGCCCTCCCCCGAGAAACGCCACTGACCGTGATATTCGGGTTGTGCGATTGAAGAATCATCTTGGGGGAGGGGGGTTTCTAGCAAAATCGAATAAATTATGTTGACTGACAAAGCGACACTCTCACCTGTTGGTAATATTCGCAAAATAGTGATGCAAAGTAAGTATAATACTAGTCAAAATGAGTGCCAGTCCGACACATACTGAAAGTTGCAGTGTCGAAAATGCCTTTACTCATAAAGTAATACTGGCTCAATTGGTTTATACCTCTTCCAAGACGCAAAATAAAAATGATATATAAAGAAATATATGACAGTCTGACACTGACTTCCTGACTGATAATTCGCCACTGAAAACCAATCCTTGAATGCGTCAGACTTCCTTCAAGGCTCTGGAAGCACTCACATGCAAGCACCGATAAATATTTCCTCATCAGTTCTCGAAACAAAGCTGGGCTATATTTGGCTGAGCAGGTCATAAACAGTCATATCTAAACATAAATAGTATCGAAACCAGTACCACTGATAAATAATTTCTTTGTTCAGAGCTAAGGAATGAACCACTGACATGACCTCACATAGGTTTGTTTTGGTTTCCAACCCACGGTCAAACTGCCAGCACTTCCAAAGAGAGCATGTGTCCTGCGACGTGTACACAGGTCATTCGGCCAATTCCAGTTACTGCTTGCGATGTGTATATGTGACATTCGGCCGTTAAAGGTTAAATGGGAGAATAAAACAAAGTCAGCTAAATAAACTTGTTAACCACTATACCCCTTACCATCCATTACATAAATTATGGCAATCATTTACTAAGATGTTGAGCTATGTGTCAATAAGATGGCGTGTCTGGTACTTGTCAGAGCATGGACATTTCTGCATGACATGTAGAATGGTAAGGGGCCATGTTACAGTGGTTACAAACAGGTACTGGATCACATCTTAACAAGTGGATGTGTGCAAGACAAGTGTGATCAATCCAAAGCCAGGTGACAATAACCTCCTCAGCTCTGGACACACCCACATGGACACTTTCAACACTTGTAGGTCATAATCCCACGCCCCATGGCCATTCATCTTGCAACAGCAATAAAACAGTATGATGGATCAGGGCCCGGATTTTGATGACAAGTCATCTTTTTTTCTTTATGTAGTAAACGTTCCTTTTAAGTACTAAAGCCCCGATTATGAACCTCTGGTTATAAAAATGTGAATTTTATTGTGCATTTTTGTCATATTTTGTATCTTTTAAGTTTTAGGTAATTTTTACAAGTTTTTACATCATTTTTCGTCATTTTTTCACGTTTTACATCAATTTTGGTTATCTTTCACGTTTTTTAATAACTGACATTCATTGATCAAACTGAAGATATTTGATTCATGAGGTAGAAATCTATGTTCTTCAAATAAATTTTGTTTTGTATCTCTAGCCTCTGTCGCTAAATATGATAGATCTGTTTGTTTCTAAGCCGCCAGAGATGCCGTTACTGTCCCGCGCCACTTTCTAAGCCACCGCTATGTCATAAACTCATAAAATTTATGCCTGAGAAATTCAGAGGGGTAGGTTTAAAGAGATGTCCGGGTGTCATAAAATCAAGAAACTGGAAACTAATTTACACTGTCCGCATCTACCTGATTTTAAGAAAATTTAGAAATTAGTTTTTATGTCATTTTTTAAATTTTAGGTCATTTTTTAAATAATTTTTGGCCATTTCATAGATCATTTTTCAGATATTTTAAGGTCATCAAAATCCGGGCCCAGATGATGATGAAAGGAACAAACATCACTACCTAGGACGTGGTCTGGTAATACTAAATCTCCAAGCACATCAGTGGCCTCATTCCCTGAAACACTTCTGTGGGCAGGTACCCAACAAAATGCAATAAAACTCCTAGCCTTGAGGAGATGGAACACTGCTGCAGAATCTCAAAAATGACCAGATGGTAGCATGTGCCCTTGGAGATCCTGCAAGCCAGTTAGAAGTCTGTGCAAGGGAGGCAATATCACTGAGGCTTTTGACGAATCAACAGGAGAGCTTGGTAGGTGGCGTAAAGCTTGCTGTATACACACTATTAACGCTGTGGAGGTAGTGTGAGAATACTATGTCTTCATATGTGGAGCATATAGGAGCAGCAGAGAATACAGAGAGGCCATAGAAAAAGGGAATATTTATAATCTACCTGATGCTCAGGCTGCAATTAAAATGCTAAAAAATTGACCAGATGAATTCTCAACTGGTCTGGGACTACCACCAATCCCTTGTGAAATTGGTCAACATAAAGAGCTCAATTGATATGGGTGCCAGCTCCCAGAGGAAGCGAGAGTAATGAAACTGCTGATAAGCTGCAAGAATGGGAGCTGAACATCCATTTATCAGGCCTTAACCAGCATCTAACATCACAGCAGTAGCTGCTAAGAAGGGTGTTAAAGACTGGGAGTCCATAAGAGGACTCAAACATGCAAAGGGTTTCCTACATGGACCCCTGAAAAAATAACTTGGGAACTATTAAAAATAGGAAACACTCAGACTGATGACAGGACTGTCACCTAAAGGGACACCCTTTTTAAATTGGAACTAACTAAAAGCCATCTGTGAAAGATACCTGAAAAAGAATGAAATATTATCACATATCCTATGTGACTGTAAGGCTATAGCTTACTTAAGATTTCACCACCTGGGCCATTACCTCATGGAGCCAGGTCACTATCAAGATGCCCCTATAGATAAAATACTACACTTCATTCAAAGTGTTGGACTGTTGAAGGACCGAAATAGAGAGGAATGCACAACAGATCATTGAAGTTTGTGGTGCAATGGCCAGCCTAGGCCTACCCCTTATGCTTTCATTCAGGATTGGCAGTACTCCTGTGCAGCAATGCCTTCCCCATCCTCCCTACTCACCAGACTTAGCCCCCTGTGATTTCCCTTTGTTTCCCAAATTGAAAATGAAACTGAAAGGACGTTTTGAAACAGCGTCAGAGATCCGAAGGGAATCTCAAGTGGTACTCAAGAGCATTTAGAAAAATGACTTCTACAGTGCTTTTGAAGTGTGGGATTGATGTGTACGTTCCCCATGAGACTATTTTTACAAAGATGGCAGAAAAAACTGAGTAAGTTAAGTGTGCATTTCTTTTTTGACCTAGTCTGGGAACTTTCCAGTAACATCTTGTACATGTACACATTTATGTATTTAACAGAAAGTAGTGATAAGGTGGTTAGGAAACAATTCTCAAGATTGTCTGGCAAAAGTCCTAAATCAGGGTAGATGCCTGCCTGGCTGATACTTGAACTAGCTACCCCTTCTTACCCGAGTGCTAATAATGCACCAACAATATAATTACCTAAGTCACACAACGATTCTGTAACAAGACCTTTCTCTCTTAGGTATGCCTTCTCTTCTGCTTCCACTATACGTCGCTTCAAGTCAGGATACTTCCTCTTGAAAGATTTTACTCCTAAATATTCTGAGATCTGCTCCTGTATCATCAGACTCTCTCCACCCTTTTCCAGTGGCCACTGGTACTCGACCACTTGCTCCACTGTGAATTCCCTACTGGTGATAAACCAAAGGAAACATCACATAAGACTATATACTTTTAAAACCAACAGTAAATACACAAAATTGTCTGACATGATGACATTATAAATGTCTGACAATGGTAAATGTCAATACAACTAAATTTTATCTCACCAGGACTAATAAAATTGCTCATAAGAAAATTTTGCATGGTTAAAGAATTCATTGGGACATACTCCATGGTCTGTAGTCCACAAGCGAACTATATTGATCGAGCCACCCACTTGTCGACAAAGTTAATGCCAACTTTTGTGGATAGAGGGTGTCATGTGGTCAGTGCAACGGATCCCCATGGCCATTAATCTCGGTTTTCTAGACCGGAGCCGCTATTTCCTTGAAATAGCTCCTCAATTATCCTCACAAGGCTGAGTGGACCCCGTTCCAGACCTACTACTTCTCAGAAAATCTGGAAGCGCCAGGAATCGAACCTGGGACCTCTGGATCTGTAGTCAGGAACTCTGACCACTAGACCACAGAGGCAGTCTACTGGCACATATGATATGCAATTATTTAACAACACACAGCAAGTCTAAAGTTATATCAAGATCTTCATAATTCCAAATCATTATCACCATGCTAAGTCCCCCCCCATGTATGGCTTTCCTCAGTTTAGCATTCACATGAACTAACAACAAGGAAATGTTAAATGAGAATTTGAATGCCATTTTTAAAATACTTAGCACCTCTTCATTGTTTTAGGGGTTTGATAACATGAAGAAAACTAACTATGTTATAAAGTAGAAGTACCTTTGTCCATCCCCTATTTCCACACGCCCCTTCTTTTTCACACTTTCAGTTGTCGCTGTGCTAATTGCACTACCTTGTGATTCTTCACCTGGTCCATCAGCTCCACCTGCAAGAACATATACGGTCACATGTTAGTAACCAGGCACGAGGTTTGGAATTGATTACTGAATTCACTGAACACTTAGGACTTGCAGCTGTGAACAATTATAACACCCTCCACTAATCCACACACTCTGCAGGGAGCTATGGTATACATTAAGTCTTCTCAGTCTGCCACGTCTTCACTCATCATTGCTTGGTAGTGGCTTCTAACAAAGGAAATTCCTCTGCTCATGGTTAACTACCAATTACAACTCCCAACTCCTGACTCGCGACTGACTTGCCTGTTTTTTGGGGGGGGGGGATTGGTTATTCTTGGATTCAGGTGCTGTGGGGCTCATGACCATATTTATCTGTCTCATGACGCTGCGATTCATTCAATTATCATTTTATTTATTTATTTATAGCCAATTTAATGATGCTGCCACAAACTCAGATTATATAGCATTAGGTGCTTGGACAATCATATATAATGAGTTGGAATGGATGTGGCACGAAGTGTTTATGACCTAATCTAATACTTACAATACCTGAACCACAAATACTGGTCTAACCCCTGTGACCTGCTTTATCTGAAGTATTTTCATCATTTTCCACAGGCCAAAGAATAATTCTGAATAAAGATATGTTTATGCAAATTCTGGAAATAAAAATATTATTGTATTGTAAAGAGATATTTGATAAAAGCATTAAAATCTGAAAATTATTTGCATGTTTATGGACACACATTATAGTTTTTGGTATCAGACAAGTGTCTGATGCTCAGCATCCACATGTTCCTCTTGTCTCTCTACTGCAGAGCAAGCACATTTGTCTTTTGGCAGAAAACACATTTACTCTTTTTTATTTTTGACACGTTTACAGTTTTGGCTATATTTCCTTTCATTTCACTACTGTCCCTACAACTTCCATATTTGTTTCTATTATGGATAGCATATGAAGGCCTGACATACAGCTCCTGAAATCTGTAAGCAAAAAAATCTAATCAAAGACAACACATCATGCTAGGCTATACAGGGGTGTGATACACATCCTTGCATAAAAACTCTAGCACCAAATGACTGCATAGCCCTCTTATACACATGTCCTAGAGTCCATCTGTAAAAAATTAAATGATGAAAAAAAGCATGAAGATCAACAGTGGCAAAGATATCCCTTAGATCAATGTGAAGAACACAATACTGTTCATAAGCATTAAAATATATAACATGCTACAATGATCATCTCCAAGACTGTCACACAATGTCCTACAAATAGTGAAAGTAGGTCAATCTTGATCATTAGAGGGGCAATCAATAAGAACATGTTACACAGTAAGCTTGTACTCACAGTGTACAGAGATGGGCACCAGCTCTCCATGCAACAAATATATGTGACAAGTCAGAGTGCCCTAACCAAAGCTCTACAACCATTAACCAAAAAAAGAATGCCACACCTGCATGGATGGTTTTACAGCTCACAATCTGTTGCCTTCTGTAAGAGTCCAGTCATCCCGCCAGATGGACAAAATAGCAAAAATACAACAGGCATGTAAATCACTACTCAAAGCTCATTCTGATGATATAATCCCATGTAGAGCCACTCCTTGGCTGTTGCCCTGGTGGCCTTATTGCTAGGCTGGCCCATATGGCCAGGTACTGAGCAACAAACAACCAACTTCCTGTCTTTATACAGATGAAACAATTAGTATAGAATCTGCATAACAGCTGGATGGTTTGGAGTCTGTCCATAGATTCTGCAGAGCACTGTGGGAGTCAGTGCAAAGAAACTGATATTGCAGCAGCTGACAGTGATGTAAAGAAGGGTATGGCCATATATAAGCCACTGAAACTATGGAGGTGATAGAAGACCAGGCCTCCACAGAGAAAAACACAGCTGATTAAACATGAACAAATAAACGGTCAATACACATAGCTATACAGTTCAAATAGACAGAAAGGAATTCCTTCAAATACTAGCAATCGTTAAAGGCAGATTTTTTGCCTAAAGAGTCAACAGTTGCAGGTCAAGTGCATGTTGTGGCAAGGGGGTATAGAGTCTACTGGATATATCAACAAGTTCAAAAGCCATGATTATTGAAATGAGTTTGGTACTCTTATAATACAATGTCTCTAATCTAATATATAACATATTTATCACATTTATAATACACTGATGTTTTACAATAAACATTTCTTCATTTAGGAAGATCATGTTAAAAAGAAAAGCATATGAAACAGCAGCACAAGAGAAGCTCTCAACACTATGGAAGAACAAGTCCAGGTCATCAAAAATTATTACTGACAGCCTGGAAAGGTGGATAATTAAGAACACATACACCAGTTTTATCATCTGAGCTATGAAATGTCAACTACGAAGTGCAGCAAATCTAAAAATCATAAGTTACACAATCATATTAGATATGCAGGCCTCAGCAGAAAGTAAAGCGGAAGGGGCATCACCCTCTTACATATTATTGCACATGTGCACGTGCACGCATGCATACACACAATAGATAAGCCCAATAAATCAGACAATGTCACATGAAAGTATCTGAATGCAAGAATGGGCAAAAATAATACCTAACAATGAGAAAAAGTGCAAACAATTTATTTTAGACAATACCCAATGTAACATTAATTGGGAATTCATATTACTGTTTGTACTATTCACATTATTAACATCCCCTTCTCCCATATCTCACCATGGCATGATGCTCAATTAACTGAGCATAGCATCAACTTTACCTTTTTTAACTTCCCCTGCTTTCTCATTGTCCTGCAGAGTCCTATACTCCTACATTACTGAATGATATGCTGAGGCTGACATGTAACGTTTAAAACCCTGGTGTACTAGCCAATTGGCTGGGTTTTAAATGCCCATAAATGTCCAAAATGCAGGGTTTCAGAAAATCAGCTGTATTTATTGCATTAGGACTACAAATTATAAACAAAAACTGGACTGTTAAGAATTAATCCATTTATCTCTATTCAAAGTTATGAAATATATTTAAACATATATATACACATTTTATATTTCTTTCAGAATAGTCTTTAAACGGTCCATCAAATGAAAAGAAATAAATAATAAAACATCTCAATACACTATCTGAAACAATCCTAACTCTTGTCCTTAAAGAGACAACAGAAAATAATTACACTTTCATGTAAAGCACAAGTCCTAATTGGATTAAGCAGCTCATATTTTAATGACAATTTTCCATTAATATTTCATTACAATCAGTTTGCCTAGAGCACTCCTGACAGACAGCAGGTTATGTGTACACTCTCTACAAAGTGTTCCACTTTCCTTGCTTTGCCGCTTCGGTACCAGATGTCAAACTCATTCAATATGATCTTCAGATATGTAAGGAAGATTGAAGTAAATACCTGACCCTTCCTGTTTAACTGCTTAGTTCTTGTAAACAATAAACACAATACACTGGACAAGTATTTTAAATACAATATGAACTAAACCTTTTATAAAGCTGTTTGTATGGTATATTGTATAAAAGACTTCCAATTGATATTTGTGTGTGTATATATATATTTAAGGAATGAGCTTAATAAGATATTAATGTCTAGTTGATGAACTGTACATGTTGGTTAAATTATTGAATTGTATGGTTATTGTTCCGTTTATGAATATAGCTGTTAAGAGGTCTAGTTTCTGGTCTCAGAACTAATATATGTACATTGTGACCTGTTCTATACCTGATGGCTTTGGTAGCCAGTAAAGATTTAGAGAAATTAAAAAAAAAAGTACAAGATACAAGCCCATACCTGCAGGGGGTAATGTGTGAGCAGGAGTCTGTGAGCGGCTGCCACTTTCTGCACTCATTCTTGTTTCTTCTTCAAATACCTGAACAGTGCTAACACTTGTGGTATGACATGGTGATGATGGACTAGGAGTAATTTCAGGCGTTGACAGCATTTCAGCTGGAGCTGTTAAAGAGTTCACTTCAGCAGATGACTCAGCTATAATGCATACTGGTGGGGATGCCTTTACTGAATCAGAAGAAGAGGGATGTTCAAGAGCATAAGGAGTCTTTATAGGTGGCTCATCAAAACTAGATGGAACATGAAGCTCAGCAGGAGTAATTGATCTAGACTGATCAGCAGGAATTACAGGAAATACCTGCCTACTTTTAACTGCTAGAGCAGGTTGTTCAATGACAGGGAATGAAACAAGATGATCAATGGTATCTACTGAAGTAGAAAGTTTGGTTGACGCAGAAGATTTCTCTGATAATGTAGAAACTTTGGCTGGATGTTCCATTTCAGGTGCAGGTTTTATTTCTTCCACAATCTTTTTCTTACGGCCAGGAGCTGAAAAGTAAAGTAAAGTAAAAAAGTAAAGCTATCCTTGTAACAGGCCGTGAAGGCCCATAGGGTTGTGAGACATTAAGGGTCCCACATTATCTAGACAATCGGCTCAAAGATGGCGGTAAGGTTGTCAGCCTTACGCGCCAGCCGCGCTTTACTCCCAAGGAAAATTATTTAATTAATCCATGGTACTCATTTCTGTTAGAGGCTGAGTCAACCCCAGGGCCATAGTGCAGCTGGAAGGATTAGGTCAATTGAAAAAAATTCAGTGACCTCATAGGGACTTGAACCTGTGACCTTCTGGCTTGTAGCATAACCCCTCAACCAACTACACTATGGCGTGACCCTCTGAAAAGTAATGCACATATTTAATTTCCCTGTGGTAGTACTGTTTTAGTATGCTTACTGATGAATGGAGTTATTTATGTAACTGGTTTGAATTTCACTTTACAGTGACCGATCTTAACAGCACGAATATCACTTCAAGTCCAGCTCTGAGACTAAACTGAATGGGTGACATACTGTTCTGTTATGCATATTAAGGAATTCAGGTTACTGTGCTCCAGTGTTTAATGTACTCACCTTTTCCTGTTCTTGGTTTCCTCACTTTGACTACAACTGGTGGCCTTTCTCTTCCTCTGCACATTCTTTTAGGTCTTAATACCTGCTCTGGAGGGGGCTCAATTACAGGAATAACGCTAGGGACCAAAGCCGTTTTCCTAGGCCGTCCACGTCCCTTCTTTGGTTCTGTCTTCACAATTTCAGTTTCAGCAGGTTTCACCTCTTGAGATTTCTCTGTAATAATATTTTCTGTATGGTAGTCTGGTACAACCATCCCAACATCTACCATTTTTTCAGCACTCATGTGTACTGAACTATTGGGCTGGTTTTCCTCTTTGATGATCAACACATCTTGGGAACTTGACCCTTCCCCTATCGCTTCACCACAATGTTTACTGGTGCTTGCTGATTGTTGCATGATATTAGAGTTACAAAACTGCACATCTTCAGATCCAGTTGAATTGGATACATTTACTTCCATCATTTCAGTGTGAGAGCTTGTTACAGACACATCAGACACTACACATAACTTTCCACTGGATGGTGTTTTGATCGGAGCAAACCTTATTGACAAATCACCACTCATAATAGTAGATGTTCTTGGACCTATTTTAGACAATATTTCTCTTAGTTTTCCTTCAACAGCTGTTTGCTCAAATATTTCTCCTTGTTTCATCCTTTTATACTCCAGCTTTGAATGTGAAATTTGAGAACTGACCCCCTGATCATGTTGAAAAATAGATTCTTTATTTTGTGACTTGGGCATTTTATGTTCTGATTTTGAATCACTTTTCAGTTCATGTTCAAGTTTAATTCTTTTATCAGGGCACTCCTCTTCTGGCCTTCTGCTCTCTAGCGACTGTCTCCTGAAATCCTTCTGAGGTCTCTGTAGGTGTTTCTCTTCAATGTCTAATTTATTTATCACTTCCATAATAGTTTCAGATTTCTCCAGTTCAGAAAAGTGTTCCTTAGAAACTTTCGATATTTCAATAACAGGTTCCACAGATGAGGTTACATAACTTTCTGATTTTTCAAAAGCACCTATTTCTTCTATCTTGGCTCGTTTTGGAAGAATTTCAGCAAATTGATCTTCAGTGGCAAGTTTGTTAATTTCGTCACTACTCGTTTGCTCAGAATTGTCACAACAGTCTGATCCAATTTTCCTCTTCACAGACCAAGCAGCATCTTTTTTAAGAGTTAGTGTTATTTTCTTTGGTTTTCCTCCCTCTGAAGATGTTTCGTCTGACAACTTAATTTCCTGATCTCCTGAAATCAGATGATCCGATGCACCATGAGCCTCACCAGTATCTTTTGGAGTTGCAAAAACTGATTCTTCAGATTTTGTTAAATCTTTCCAAAGTTTTAAAGTAATTTTTTCAACTTTTCCTTCGTTTGTGATTGAAGTACCTGCTGAATCCTCACATTTCTCTTCTTCTGTTTGTGTACTACTTACTTCCAGATCTCCTTCAGGATGGTCTGTTCTTTTAAGTTTTAACATTAACTTTTCTACTTTCCCTTCTTCTTTTGATGAAACTACAACTGACTCTTCTGGGCTCTGAACATCTACTAAGACTGATCCTTGCTCTGGTATTTTCTTTCCAGTAATTATTTCTGAAATCCCTGAATCTTTTTTCAGCTTCAGAGTAAGTTTTTCGACTTTGTTTTCTTCTTTAGCAACCAAGTCCAATTTAGTTATTATATCAGGTTGTTTTGATGGTTCCACTTCTTTCCCACACATAACAGATTTTATAGCATCCTTCTTTAGTTTCAAAGTTAACTTTTCAAGTTTGGGTTCTTCTTGTTGAACTGAAGTTCCTCCTTTTGGCAACTTTGTTGGTCCCTGTTTTGCAGTTACTGGAATTACTTCTTGTTTTGTTGGATCCTTTTTTATCTTCAGTGTTATTTTTTCTACTACTGTGCTTTCTGTGGTTAATGATGGAACACTTGCTTCTGACTGCTTCTGTTTAATGTCAGTAATCTTAGTTGGCGTAACTGTAGTTTCATGACTGGATGGTCTCTTAGAAGTCATAATAGTATCAGGCTTAGCTCCTTCCTTCTTTAACTTTAAAGTTATCTTTTCCACAAGAGGATCTTCCTTAGGTGATACAGAAGCATCTGCTTCAGGTTTTAATTGTTCTGCTGTCTTTACCTGTGTGACACTTGTTTCTGGATAAATGGCTGTTTCAGGTTTTGTAGTGTCCTTCTTCAATTTTAAGGTTATTTTCTCAACCAAAGGTTCAATTCTGCGGCCTAGTGAAGTATTTTCATTGGACTGTTTAACTTCTGATGCCTTAACTCTGGTCACTGTAGTTTCAGGCTGACCCTCTTCCTTAGATGCTGCAGCTGTGGTATCATCTTTCTTTAATTTTAAAGTAAGCTTTTCTATTGCAGGTTTATATTTTGAATGAGGTGAAATAGGCTTTTCTTGGATTTTTCCATCTTTCAACTTGACTGGAATAATAGTCGTTTCATGGCTGATACTCTCTTTAGATGGCAGAGCAAGTGCCTCTGACTTAGATCCATCCTTCTTTAATCTTTGAGTGACCTTATCTGCAGACACATCTTCAATTTCTGGTAATTTAATTTCTGCTGACTGGACTGGAATAGCAGAGGTGTCCTGAGGTACATCTTCCGAAGATACAGTAACTGTTTCTTGCTTTGCTCCATCTTTCTTTAACTTCAAGGTAATCTTCTGAGGTTTGCTTTCATCCTGCAATGCAGATGAGGCTACAGTTTCTACCTGCTCAATTCCAGATGAGCGTGTTGTTATTACTTCTCCTGGATTTGGCATTACCATGGAAGTGGTTGCAACTATAATATCTGGATGAGCAGGGTCTTTCTTAAATTTTAAAGTTATTTTCTCTAACTTTGGTTCCTCTACACATTCTTTTTGAGTATCTTCTACCTTTGAAACATCCCTTTTTAATTTTAATGTCCGTTTTTCAACTCTGGCTCCTTCATCTGCATTTTCTGTTCTGGGCAATACTTCAGTATTACCTGCAATAGAAGTAGCTTTAAATGACATAGAAGAAGAATCCTTTTTTAATTTCATGTTCATATTTTCATGTTTTGGTGAGATGGGTGTTTCAGATAGTCCTATATTTGATGAAACTGTTGAAGTCCAAGATGATTTTGAACTTGTTCCATCTTTGGTGAATGAATCTGAAACAGGGTCTTTGTTAAGTTTTAATGTTAACTTCTCCACCTTTGCACGTTCTTTAGAAATTACTGATGAGTCTGGTGACAGTACTCTGGATTCTATAGAAGTTTCTGGCTTACTACCTGCTACTGTATTTGCTGTAGCCTCCTTCAAAATACTTTCAGAATACTGTGACTTCGATTCTGGTTGTGATTCTTTCACAGCTGAACTTGATTCTTTTGATGCTGTCATATCTTTAGTAATTTTTAGAATAATTTTGTCTTGTTTAATATTTTTGTCTGATTTTGATTCAGAGGAAGATTTTGTTTCTTCTATGTCCAATGTTTTTGTTGCACTGGGTTTTGATATGTTAATGGATATTTCTGATTTCTTTTCAGCTGAAAATCTACCCAACTTTACTTCTTGACCACATCTGTCCTTTGACTCTTCCAATTGGAGATTACCTTTAACTAGTTCTGCCTCTGCTTCTTGTTCTAAAATAATATCCTCCGCAGGTATCACTTCAACTACTTTTGGTTTTAATACTTCATCATCTACTTTTAGAGCCTCAGTATCCAGTCTTAGTGTCATCTTATCTGTGCTTCTTGAACATTCAGGTATTAAAACACTTTTCATACCAAATGCTGGTTTCTTCAGCATTACTGATGATGTTCCTGATTGGGCAGACATACTTCCATTAGTATTCTCAGTTTGTTCAGAACAGACCTCTGCACTGACTTCTGCTATATTGGTAGAACATGAAACATTCTCTGTGTCTATCTTTCCAGATTCTATTTTGAATTGAGATTGTACAGTAACTAATTCTCCTCTTTGTTCTGATTTATTATTTGGAGAATTTGCATCATCTGTATTAATTTTATCATTGCGAAACACATCCTCTTTGGACTCTCTGATTTGTGCTGTAGAAATAAATTCTTCTTTAGGGATTCCAAAATTTGTTGAATGCGGAATGCCTATTTCAGATGTTTCTATGTTGGTTGCTACAATTCCATGTACAGGTTCCCTTTCTGTCTCTTTTCTGCCGACATTTAACTGGCATCTTTCCTTGTCACTTCTACTTGATGGGTCAACTGTGTCCGCAGTTACTTCCATTCTGTGTGCTTCTGATATATTTTGTACATTACTTTCCTGATTTCCTGCACCATTACTGGAACTGATAAGTGTTGTACTATCATCTGGGTTGGCTAGTATTTTAGTTTTAATGCTAGAAAACGTTTTTTCATGGACTTTCTTTTCAGACAATGAGCTTTGTTCAGCATGCTGTTTAATTATAATCGCCTTTAGGCCTTCTTTTGCAAAGGTTTCTTCAACGGTTAACTTTGTCTTATTTATGTTAGATCCAGAAGTTGTGTGTCGTATCAGCTTTGGTTTCTTAAGAGACTCACTAACTCTGTTTTTATCCTTATAATCATCTTGTAATTTAAGTACAGAGGATGATTCATCTTTCTCTGGCACGCCACTGTCTTTTTGTAGTAACAATCCCGGTTGTTCAAGACATTTATCCCTTTCTGGTTTAGTCACATTCTGAACTACTGAATCTTTAATATCTTCTGATGTGAGAGAAGCTGGAAGTGTTGACTGTGATGTTTCTGAACATTGAACATTTGTAGGTGATGAAGTTTCAACTTCTAACTGTGTAATTTCTTTTGATGTCTGCTTGAAATATGTTGACTTCAGAACATCTGCTGCCACTGCAATTGATTCTTTCACAGAAAATGAACTTGACTGTTCTTTTCCTGATTGTTTATTGTCTTCTAACAAACCTGAAGTTTTCAGAACTTCAGTTGTTTTCATTGTATGTGAACCATCTGGATTATCCACTTTCTTTGTCAGGATTTTAGTAGCTATGTCCAGATGCTCAATCTCTTTTGACTCAGTAACTGTTGGGAATTCAGACTGCTCATATTCTTTTAAGAGAGCTTTACTTGGAAGGTTTTCTTCTTTAAGTTCCCCTGCAGGAGTCTTAATTCTTTCTGTTGATGATACACTGTGGACAGTGTCTGGCATTTTAATTTGTTTACATTCCTTTTGGGATGAACTCATGGCAATCTCTGTGACAGTATTTTTAAATGTTGGAGAGCTTAAAGGGCCTGGTTTTGTCACTTCTGTAGGTGCCAATGATGAGGAATGTTCAGGTTTACTCACTTCCTTTGGCCTTGATAAGACAGGACGGACCAGTTTAACCCTCTGTTTGGTTGCAGGTGACACAGATGGCTTCAGTCCTTCATTAGTAACTGCACCTGAACTTTCAGTCAACTTCTGTCTTTCTTTCCGTGATGATCCTGTATTACCTTCAACTGCAAGATTTTTCCTTGGCATTTTCTCTCCTTTACCTACATCTTCTGATAAAATCAAATTTTCAGTTACGGTACTGTCATGTTTAAAAATTGTTTGTTTGGTTGATGAAGTTTCTGCTTTTGATACTGCCTCTTTTGCATACACTGAAATCTCTGTCAGGTTAGAATCTGTTGTAGTTGATGTACCTATTTTATGCAATGGATCCTCAGTCTTTGCTGAAAGATTAAGAGAAAGGGGAGGTTTTCTAGTAACTGATGTAAGGTTTTCTTCAACAGTAGGATATTCTGTCATTTTTGCCAAACCTTCAATAAGAGATATGTCTGTTGTTTCTTTGTTTGATTCAGTGGATAATATTGTTGATGCTGATGAAGCTGCTTCCTGCATTACTGCAACGTCTGCTTCTAATGGTAAGAGCATATCTGCTGCTGAAGTGTGCTCAGGGGCTACTGTTTCCGAGTACGACTTTTCTGGCATCCTTGAAATTGCCTTTTTGATTGTCTCTTTCATTGCAGCTGCTAGATTTTCAGCTAAAACTGGAAATTCTTTATCTGTTACAGTCTGTGTCTTCATAGCAGTTGTCCCTGGCCCACAGCTATTAGAATCTGTTGGAACTTTCTGCCTAGCTATTACTTCGGCTAATCTTTTTCTAATAATTTCTTTGTCCTTATTTCTTGATAGCATCTGATCAGCTGTAACAGTATTTACTTCTGGAACCTCCATTACATTTTCACAGTCTTTCTCTAGTGCTTCTGGGCTGCCAAGGGACATATCTTTTTTCCGTGTATGAGTGTCAGTAATATTGGTTTCCTCTTTTATTACCGGCATCTGCACAGCAGTAAGTGCAATATGTTTTCTTGCTTCAGTTGAAGTTTCTTTCTCCTTTACTTGTTCTTCTAAGCTTGAAATATCTTTGCCTCTTTCCAGAAATTGTGGACCAATATATGAAATACCTTCATTTTCTGTTGACATTCTTGTTTTAGTCACATCAATGCCCTCTTCCTTAATCAAGATTTGTGTTTCAGAAGAAATAATTCCCATTTTTTTAGAAGATTCATGAATAATTTCAGTGTGCTCCTCCTTATCTGGTAGTTGCTTATTACCTGTCAAAGTTGCTTGTGCATCAGAAACCAAAGATTCCTCCCCTGACCTTGATGCAGCTGAAGTTTCCTTTACTTCAAAATGAGTGGGTGAAGATTCACTTTCCTTCATTTTTGTTTGCCTGACTGATATTTCAGTTTCTGTTTTGGGCCTGTGCAAGTCAATTCCTGAAGTTCCTCTCAGTATACCACAGATCTTTTCATCATTGGCTGGACACTCTTTCACTTTTACCGAAGGATGTTTATTCTCAGAAGCTTCTTCCATCCCCATGGGTGTTAATTTTGTGTCAACAAATGAAGCATCCTCTTCTTTCACTAGTGTTAAAGTGGTAGAATGTGCATTCTTTTTCTCCTTCATTGGCATTTGTTCAGCAACTGAAGTTTCTTCACCTATCACATATAGTTTTGTACCAAGAACTGAAAATTCCTGTTCTTCTGTTGAAACTTTCCTACCATCGTCTGGTTTTTCTTTTACTTTCTGCCCTTCTGTCATACAAACCACAGTTTCCGTTCCTTTTACTGATGTTTCAATAGTGACAACAGGATCTTTCTCTTTCATTTGTTTTTCACTGTCTTTTCCTGTTAGAACATCCATAAGAATCAAACATTGCTGCCCTGATATTGGTGCTTTTATGTCATCTACAGAATCTGTTCCTGTTGATGTTTCAACAAGAACTGAAGACTTTTCTTGGGATAATGCTGATTTTGTGACAATTGATGATTCTTCTGTGGTAAGTAGAGTTTCTGTGATAACAGTAAGAGGTTCTTTTCCTGATGTTGGTAATTTTGTAACATATGAAGATTGTATTCCTGCACTTGCTTCTGTGACACCAGATGGTTCTTGTTTTATTGCAGATACATCTGTTACAGCAGATGAATCTTTCTGCCTTGTGACTGGTTCTGTAACCATAAGACAACCAACATCTGCACGTTCTTCTGCTGCTACTAGTACTGAAGAATTTTTGTTTGAGGAGATAATTTCCTTCACATCTACTAAATTTGTTCTTGAATCTACAGATGACTTTCCACAGCTTGTAGCTATCTGTTTAGCTAATGAGGTCTGCTGTCTTGCATAATGTTTCACAGTTGTTCTGGTACTTACTGTACTTAACACAGTGTCTGCCTGCCCCACAGAAGCAGTAGGCTGGTGCAAGTTACTTCCTGCAGCTGCTGATGTCTTTTCCAACACCACTACTTCCTTTTTTTCTTTGCTTTCTTTAGAGAGACCAGGTGAAGATGCAGAAATTTTAACATTCCCTTTTAATTTATTTTCAGAAGTTTTGCCTTCCAAATTTTCATCTCTTGTAACAGAACTTGAAATTACTTTTTTCGTTTGACCTTCTGAAGATGCTGAGTTGCTACTTTGGTCTTTAGTAAGTATTTTTAAACTATCATTTAAAGAAGTATTACTAGTAATACATTCATCTGTTTCTTTTGTAGAATCATGAATATGTTTCTGGTCTTCATGAGTGGAAGAGCCTGGAGAAGGAATTTCATCATCAAAAGGTGAGCAGTAATTTGATTTAATTAAATCAAGAGCAGAATACAACTGTGGCACTGTATGAACATTTGTTGTTGTGTCTATATCACTCTCCTGATGTCCTGTCAAAATATCTGCGGATGCTGACAGTTCAGTCACAATGTCTACATCTTTGCTGGATGACACACAGTCTTGTATTTGGTTTGGCAAAGAATTATTTTCTTTGGGTTTTTTGGAAGTACACACAGACTGTTCAGGAACAGTAACATGAGATTCTTGTTTGCTGGTGGAAGGTTGAGACAAAATATTAAATATCTGTCTCTCTGGACCTGAAGCTTGAAAGTCAGAACCTGCTTGTTCAGTGGCACTAGTTTCCATAACAAACTTAACCTGGTCCCATCTCCTTTTTCGCCGAGAAATATCCTTCATACTAGTAGTAGAAATACCTGAATTCTGTGGTGCAGTTTCATTCAGTACAGAACCTTCTATGTGGCTCTGAGAGGTTTCCATGTCTTGGACAATGTCTTGAGTACGTGCTCCTGAAACAGATTTTGCCTTTGTGATACTGGGAACTGGTGTATTTTCTCCTGATGCACTCACAGGTGTGACAACATTGCTTGTTGAAATTACACTTCCTACATCCTCTTCTGTTGTTGAAACTTCTTCTTCAGTAAAAGATATGATTTCATTTTTATCACTACTTTCTTCTGTAGTCTCAACAGTTGTGCTGTCAGGATTCCAAGTGTACATTCTTGTTTTATTACATACGACATCACCTGCTTCAACAATGTCTGAGGTTTTTGCAGACGAAACATTTACTGACTGTGGAATCGCCAACTGGAACCCCTTATTATTAGTGGTAGACATTTCTGCACCTTGCATTTCTTCTTGGTTTTCATATGACATTATAAAAGTTGTAGGTTCTGATGTTGTTGAAATTACAACATTCTCATCAAGTAGGACAATTTCACTATCTTCACTAATATGAAGCAACTCTATACTTTCATCTGGTAAGTGCTGAAACATTTCTGCATCTACACCTTGAAGGTTTTCTTGTTCTACAGCAGCAGTATTTAGACTCTGTACTGTAGCAACATGTTCTGTATCATCACTCAACAAACTCTGTTCAGCCTCTGATCTAACACGCATCTCTCCTGATGTATCAGGTGAATCAGAATGAACAATTTCTTCTTGTATTAAAGAAGAGGGAGCATCGCAGTCACCTATAATTTCTGCAAGGCTAGTTGTAGGAGCACTGGCTGGAAGACTATCACTGCATGTTGATGACACTTCACCTTCCTTCTCATTATTTAAATTCCCATCAGCGTCTGATTCTGCCACATCCATTATTGGAGTTCAAAGTAAGCTATCTCCTTTGCAAGACACACGCACATACTTCATGTTAACCAACAATCTCTAAACACCACTATTCTATATATAGTGGCACAAATAAATCACGTACTTCTTAACTATAGAGCAAAAAGAATCTTTTTCAGTATTCCACACAATAGCCTATTTATACTCAACAACTGGTAATACAATACAATTTACTTTTCTTTTCACTACATAATGTCCCTGCCACCATAACACAACGATTTAACATTGACAACAAACTCGATTAAGACCATTAAGACTTGAAATGCTTCGGTTATGTGGTGGTTATAAGCAAACGAACTAAAAATATTACGACTGAATTCTCTCGTTACGTAAAGGAATTACTCTCATTCCAACACTGTAAGTTACAAGGCGATAACAGAAATCATGTTGTCATTAATTTCAATTTTATATTTTTGAAAATGTAACTTCAATTTCATACATCTGAAACTGTACCATGTCACTCATTTCGGTTCCTTAATTACATTACGAGATGGCAGTAAAATTGATGTTTGAAGGTTAGTTCATCTGCGTCTAGTGCGGTCAAGTGCGGTCAAGTGCTAGACGTGCGTGACCGTTTCTGACCAACTGTGGTAATCCGAGGTGGTTTCAAATTAGTCAATTTCGTCGATACTTGGCTAAGCGATACATTTTGATATGTAGTCGATAAATACGTAATGCATTGGGTCGTTTGAGTCGTTAGCGTCGTTAGAGTGGTAAGAGCAGTTGTGGTCTGTGTGTTCTTTAATGCGTTCTTATGGTTCTAATGCTTGTAAATTTGTGCTGAGGAATTTTGTAGCATATGACAAGACGGTAAACATTTTAGTACTTATTTAAAGTAAACTTTGTGTTAGAATGTAGTGGCGCAGGTCGTGCTATTTTAGCAGACTATAAAGACGAGGCTATATTGCAACAGTACGATTTTCTGGATTGTGACACCGTGCAGTTTGGAGAGAGCTCGTTAGTTCTGCAGAAGAAGGCGGTATGTTTCTTCGAAACGTTGGGATGTCTCTAGACTACACGGCGTTGGAATCTAAAAGACCATACTCTTCACAGTCACCGCCTTGAGAACCAAAAATTCAGTAAGACTCTTCCCTTCTCACTTGTCTTCTAGTCTTGAATCCTGGTATATATTCGGCTGAAATTCGGAGGCAATGGTTACGAGATTTTTTGGTTAAGATTGACAGTTATTTCACCACGTGGCTTACACGAAAGATTTTGAAATTTGCTCGTTATAATTCATTGGCCTCCCAATTGTGTACAATGTGTTGGAAGTAACCACTAAGAGCCAAAAGTTCATATGTAAGTGACAACACAAGTAATGGCAGAGTCTCATTTGTTACTAGGCCAGCGAAGCCAACCTACTGCGCTGGGAACAGTGTCCCCTTCAGATATATATATATATAGCTGACCTGGCCTATATCACGTAAGAATGATCTGTAGAGATGAAATAAATAAATAGATATAGGGTGAATTTTGCAGACATACCTTGGAGATGAACTCCATGTACCAAACAAGAAAACAGATTCATATGAACACAGGTGTGCAGACACTTTCTTTCTGAGTTACAGCATGGCAAATTTAGTGACGGTTTCAAGTGATATTCTCAACTGGGTCATATCTTTCATGTAGGCCAACAAAAGCCTGCAGATATTGCAGTTCCATGGTTGTCCTTAAAAACACTTTGGTAATTCCATTATAAGTGTTAGCAGTTACAGTCCAGTTTTGACAATGGGTAGTGGTGGTCATGTGTTCTGCTTGTGTGTAGTGTCAGACCGCACAAGAACAACTGCATGGTACATAGTGCAAAATTCTAATTTCTTTTTGCTATGTTACTGGGAATGCAGTTTGGATGAGTATCCATCTGACGAACTGGTGGACATGCACCGTATATATGGCAATGCAAATGACAGTGGTCTGGGGGTTGCATACCTCTACCAGGAAACATTCCCACACTGACTCCATCCAAACCATAAAACATTTGGTTTCATTGATCTTTGACATAGTGAGACTGGAATATTTAAGCCTCATGCTGTCAGTCAAGAAACAGATCTGTCTGGACACTTGGATGTGAGGAGCATGTTGAAAAGCATCTGTGTCCACACAAGATGAATGGTAACAGAGCTGCATGTGCTGATGACCGTCTAGAGAGTACCACATGAGCATTTGCTGTACCATTTACAGTAAGTCCAGGATCTCAAGCCTGCTGACTGACCAGCAGGAGAGACTTGTGCCAGTGGTTTGTTCAACATTGTGCTGAGCCTCTCTTTTGTGTCAGTGGTCCTTTCAGATGGAGCAGGTTTTGGTAGAGATGGCATCATAAATTTTCACAGCCACTACCAGTGGACAGAGGACAACCCTCATGTTGTACCCCAACCTAGACACCAGCAGTAGTTCAGTATAAATGTCTGGGCAGGTATTGGTTATTGATTGGTACTCCTACATGTTTTGCCGTATTAGCTTACAAGCAACCACTGTTAAATGGTTTTCATAATCTGCTAAAAGATTTACTGCTGGTGGTCAGATAACACATGTGATTCGTGCTGCATTATATAAGGTGTTCCCAACAATAACTATCAAAATTGATGGATAGGTAGAGGAGAACCCACTGCATGGCCCCCTTGTGAGTATTGGTTGAATAGGTTTCTGTGTTTAGAAATGTGTATGTAATGAAGCAAAGATCTGGTCTCATCATGGTTTTGGTTTGTTATACATGAGTGTATTTCATGCGGTCAGTTTTCATTGTGTTGCCATTGTGATGTGTTTTTTGATGTACTGGTTAGAATGGTGGTAATCGACTGACTTAAGAGAGAAAGTTGGTTCATAGGAAGGTAATGCTCACTGCTTCTTGTTAGTTCTGGTATTTTACATGAATTTCACTTTCTGGTGAATTGTATATTCATACACACATGCCCCTACAGTTTCTGGGATTCAAGGATACAGACTTCAGAAAACTTACTTTGACTCTCAGATGAGGATTGTGCAATTATTTTGTGCGTGTGTTTTGACACCACTGACTGTAATTGATGTATAATCTTGACCAGGATTAGTCTACGCAGTAAATGGTGATTTGACCAATAATCTATGAATTTGCATTGAAGACTGGCATTTGTGTGTGTGGCGCGCGTGTACACACATACAGAGACATGATTGCTCTACCTACTTCATCACTGTTATTACAGCAGTAACTTTGTTTAAACTTTTACTTTGTTTTGGATTAGATGAAGACATAATGCCTTAGCCCATAACAACCTGCTTTGCACTCCTAATCCTATAGTTAAAAGCACCTGGGAAAACTTTGATTTGCTGAGTGCTCACAGTTGTAGGGAGACTAGTTAAGATCATCACCTTCAAACTTTTGTAACTCACTTAATCTTGAAATAATTCTTGTAACTGTTTTAAAAACTCAGCATGAAGTAATCAGTACACTGCACTTGAATTTACATTTTCCGGAATGTTAAACTTTTTTATGTTCACAGCATTCTAAATTCTTATCATTTTGTTTGTAGGGTGCTTACCCTTGCTGGTCTTTTATATTTGATGGGTGACTCACCAGTTCATTGCAGAATTTCACATAAGCATTGCATTGAAGTGAGCTGGCAAACTGTTCATCTTTGCTACTCTCATCTTCTTTAAAATTGATGTCTCACACTTTATGTTTGGTATCTTATGATACTAGTCACTCATTTTGTGATCACTATGTGACTGAGGAAGTTATCCGAGGCAGTATATTTTTAAGCTGTTTCAGATATCGTTGTGTCTACTTTGTTGTTTTTGTGGTTAAAACTGTTAATATCAGAACTATATTGTGTGTCCATTTGTGTTAAATGTGTTATTGGACAAAGAACTGGTGATACAAGATGCCATAATTATTGTAAACACACTTTTTTTTTTCCATTGGAGCTACAGCCCTCATTTGGGCCTAGGCCTACCTCTATGAAACTCTCCGTTTCAATTCGGTTTACTAGATCTTACACATATGGTAGGACTCCTTGGGTGAGTGATCAGCTCGTCGCAAGGCCTCTACCTGTAGACAAACACAGAAGAACGCACACAAACATCCATGCACTGAGTGGGATTCAAACCCACGATCCCAGCATCCGAGCGAGCGAAGACAGTGCATGCCTTAGACCGCTCGGCTACCGTGACCAGTGTAAACACACTTAGTCAATAGAATTTACAACAAAATAGGTGTCTCTTGCACAGAACCAGAGAACATTTAGAATATGGAAAGATTTCAAGTGCCCAAAGAACACTGAGCTGCAGAGCTTCCTGGTTAGAGAGCCTAGACCACATGAAATCTTTGCTGAGAGCTTCCAATACTGCAGGCAGTGAATGATTCATACCCATCACCTAAATACTGTATGATGCAAATCAGGCATGTCTGGACCTGCCCAACATATACAGCTCAGTAGATGTATTATTTTTTGCAATTTAAAATACTTCCCCAGATTTGTGTCCAAAATTTATTCAAGTGTGTATGTAGCAATAATCTTGATGACATGTGAATAAAATATTTTTTATAATAGTATAGTAAGTTTATGTTACCTAAATTTGTAGCTGTAAAGAATTTAAAAGCAACACGTTGGTTTAAGTTGCCTCATCACTACAAGCGAATTGACTCTTTACTATAAAATACCTCACAGAACCCAATCCTATAGGGATTCCATCTTTATATTTGCAGATGTTTTTAATAACAGTTATATATGCAAAATATATATACTTATATCAAAAGGTCAGAGTACTTTATTTATTGAAATACAGGGTCAGTGCTCAAATTTGAAGACCTGGCTGACATAACTGTGCTGAATAGATCGTTGGGAATAGCATTCTGTTAGCTTTACAGTAAGCATGAATTAACTTCTGTGTCTGTAATTGGTTCAAGTGTTGGCCAGGAAACTATCATGAGTGATGCCTTTCATAGATTTCCTCAGTCCCTCCAGTCCAGTGCTGGGATACATCTCGTGTTAGGCCATGACCACTTCCTTTCACATCCTTTACGGCACAGTCACCATTAATCACCCTGCTAATCATCACTATACAGGGTGCTTCACGACTTTAGGGCAGGAGGTGATTTCCTAGGTCTTTGTGATCAAAAAAGTTCATATAAACATGTGTCCGATTTTGGACGGTTATGGAGTTATGACCGTTTTAAACTTAGAATAGAAGGTAATGATTACTGACAATAAACGGAACAAAATAATAAACCACCATAATACATGATACATTTAAAGTATGAATGTAAAGCTAACTTCGTGAAATTACCTTTAATTTGAATTTATTGGTGCTTAAAGCTGATTTTCTAAAATGCCACCACCGGCCACAACACATGCTGCCGCTCGGTTGTCAACCGCACGGGACATACCAACCCACCACACCTTAGGTACCTCTCAAGTGTCAAGATAACGAGAATGCTCTGTCTGTAGCTGGCTAAAAATAGAGACCCGCCAGATGACAGACGCGGTTCACAAGAGGGCATGTTCGGAAATGAAAAAACGGTCATAACTCCGTAACCATCCAAAATCAGACACATGTTTATATGAACTTTTTTGATCACAGAGACCTAGAAAATCACCTCCTGCAGTTATGCCCTAAAGTCGTGAAACACTGTATAGTCTGAGCTAGATGCCTTAATTAAATAGGCCATGAATAAAGAAATTGAATTTGGGTTTCATTTTAAAATTACTTACTCCAGTAGAACTCACATTAACACCATTCGTCACTGAATTGTGAAGATCCAACTCATTTATCCAAGTTGCATATGGTATTTAGTCAATTTCAAGTATGTCATATGTGCAGGATATTTAATTTCTGTGTACAAATATATAATTTTATTTCCAGGTCTTTGAATAATAATGGAAGAAATATTGAAAGATAGTCGCTTCTCCCATGTAGCCCGGGATCCACGTTTTAAAAGAATTTCAAGACATGAGAAAAAAATAAAAATTGACAAACGTTTTCAGTCCATGTTCAGTGATGAAAGATTTAAACTTAATTATACAGTTGATAAAAGAGGTCGTCCAATAGCTCATACATCAAATGAAGATCTGAAGAGGTACTATGCCCTCTCATCCGATGAAGACAGAGATTCAGAATATGAAAGCACCAGTGGTAACAGTAGTGATACCTCTACTGAAATAAATAAAGATTTCAAATATACTGAGACTAAATCCAAACCCGATGAACCTGGAGGAAGTGGTTCAGCTGCTGATAGCGTAGATAAAATTAAGATCAGTGATAAGAAAGATGAAATAAGGATTGAAAAACACAATATCAATTTTGAAGGACTGAATAACAACTTAATAGGGGAGAAAAAGGGTCAACAGAAATGGAAATGTGGTTTAGAGTTGAACCCTAATAATGAAGTTTCTAGCAATGTAGATGATATAAATGAAGAAAAGGAAATTCTAGCGGATAGTGTAAAGAAAAAACTGAGAGATCTAACGGTTGATTATGCTCGTGGTGAAGGAGTACTTTTCTCTGACAGTTCATCAGATGAGGAAAGCTCAGAATCAGGTTTGAGTCATGTCTTATTTTTCTAGTCCCAGTGTATCACTTGTCACAATTGTTGTTCTGTTGATAAAGATACTAATATGGTTTTATTTTGTGTATGTCTGTGCATAATTTTCTTTCCTCAGAATTATCACGTTCTATAAAAAGGAGGTTTTAATGTCCATATATGTAAGTCGTCATTTATTTATGTATGTATTTATTTATTGTTGTGATGAAAGTGCCTTCATATTCTTTTAGGTTTATCCTTTACTTTGTGCTCTCACCTTGAGATTTTATGCTGTCCCATTCACTTGGAGTCATAGCCAGGAACTTCATCTGTGACAGGTGTAGGTCATAATGCAGTGTCTCAGTTCTAATCCCAGTTAGACCCAGTACAATTCCATTAGTTAAAATAATTATTGGTATTATTGTGTACTGTCATCTCTACAGTTATTGTTGGTCCCTGCTACTGACATCATAATCATGTCATCTGACTGCCTTCTGAAGCTTATAGATTCACAGTTAGCCACAAAATTCCCAGAACCTGAAGGTTCATTACTGTCTTTGTCTATATTTGTATCGTCCAGTTGTTGCTAGGTAATAGCTCCATAAAAATCCCTGTCATTAGGCAGTGACTCAGTAATATCTCTTGAGTTTTTCTAGGCTTATTTCTGTGTTTGCTTTGGCACTGCCTTTTTCCACTCATACCTTCAAGAAGATGGAGTACCATGATGATCGATTTTAACGAAGACTGCATTTGCAGGCACTGTCAAGGGGATGGTTATTGTAGTTGAAACGTCTCAACATCACTGTATCTCTTTTGACCATAGGTGTATATGAATAAAAACAATAGTTAGCAGCATTTATGCTGAATTAAATCATGAAAGTGGATCCACACTGAACATATATATACACAACTCTTAATTTTTGAAGTTGGAAATGGATCCATTTTCATCATATAATTCAGCGTAAACATTGTATACGAGTATGTATTGTTTTTATTCATATACACCTCATAATGGTCAAAAGAGATTGAAACTTGTGTGATTAATATAATAAACTGACCTTTCGTTTTCATGTGATCTCAGTCATTTTATTGTGCAGTAATCAAATGTTGTGTGATAGTACAAAACCTTTAATATTCCAGGCCTTCTTTTGGACAGAAAACTCTCATGGGAACCTCACTTGAGATGTCTCTGTGTTAAATGTGAATAAACATTTAATATTTTTTAAGTTTAAAATGACAGATACATGGTGGTTCAAATATGACTGGGACTGATTTGAGTGTAAACAAGCCGCACTGCGCAGCAGCTGTGCGGCCTTGAGAGAGTGAAGCCACAACCTCCACCCTCCCTCCTGTTTGGGTTAGAACCTGTTCAGTCCTGTCTGGGAGTTGCTAGAATGATGAACGAACAGAAGGTACCGCGGAGCGTGGAACAACGCATTGTGATCAAATTCCTCGGAAAAAACATCCCGTCCACTGAAATTCACCACAGACTCCAACAACAGTATGGGGAAGAATGTCTCTCATGGACCCATGTGTTTGAGTGGTGTAAGTGCTTCAGAGAGGGCAGAGTGTGTGTGGAGAATGAACCGCATGATCGTTGGCCGCGAACATCCGTCACCGAGCCAAACATTGATCGTGCAGACGCGCTTTTTCATGAGAATAGGCACATCACTGTCAAGGAACTTGGAGCAATGCTGTCCATCAATGTTGGTAGTGTAGAACAGTGGTTCTCAACCTTTATGATACCGCGGCCCAGTAAGTTCTTTTTTTATAAGACGAGAGCCCAGTCCCAACAAATTTACTCGTAAATACCTTTCCAATTTTGTTAAAGTTTATGCATTAAGCTATCATAATATTAGTAATTAATTATAGCATAATCGTAAAGAGTATTAGTACACTTATGTATATGGCGTGGCATGTTGACAAACATAAAATTACATTTAAATTAGTTATCAATCACTGGACTAATGAAATCTTGTAGCATTTTGTAGTTTCCTCAGACCAACTTCATTAAATTAATTTGTACTAATTTTCATTGACATATCCCATGCTAATCACCAAAAATTATGTTATTCAGAGTAAAATTGATTTTAATGATGTAGGTTTGAAAAAAATGGCGTGAGAAAAATGTTTATGCATTGTAACTCACCATAGAAGTCAGCTGAGGAGGGGAAGAAACAGAAGGTTGTCAACTTGCCGGCGAAACACTTATTATCATATACACATGCCAAATAATTATATATGTAAAGTATGTAATTTGATAAATAAAACTGTATGAATCTCTAATTCTAAACACTACTTCCAACACTAATTAATATTTTGATTTTAAAGACGCAGCACTTTAACACAGCAATTATAAGTTATTGGAAAGTCAAACTTAGTTTCTTTTATCACAACTGAGTTTGGAAGGTTTTAGTTAGACTACTGAGACTTCTGTTTCTGCNTTATTATAGTACATGAGGAATATAACATTTTAAATAATTTTATAAATGACACATGATGGTGAGCAGTGCAATAGTTTAATGTAAATAACACACCTGAGGATGGCACACTGATGCTGAAACATGTAGTGAAGTGACAAGTGAGACTGTGTGCACTAGAAGGCGGTCAATACATACATATCATGGATAATTCAATAAGTTGAAGGGTTTCTTCATGGGGAAAAAAGGGTTCACAATCCACATATTTTGCCTCCGGGGACCCTCATGTTTGGGATAATGTTTTTCAAACCACATGATCAGCTTCAAGTGGGCTGAAGTAATATCTGAAACTGAATTCTGTGAATAGATATCATCTGCTTCCATAATATAATCTGAGTACGACTGAAACATTTCATTGTTTCCTTCTGCAGTCATATTAAGCCAGAGTTTGAGTTTCTTTTTGAATGATTCGATCTTGTTCAACGCATTAAATATTGTTGTATCTGGACCTTGAAGTTTTAAATTCAACTCGTTAATGTAAGAAAATATGTCATTGAGATACGCCAGCCTGGCTGCCCATTTCTTATCCTGGAAATAATGGGACAGGTTACTTTTCTTATCAATTAGAAAGAGCTCAACTTCCTTTCAGAGTTCATATAACCTCTTGAGAACTTTACCGCGCGACAACCAATGAATTTCCAAATGGAAAAGAAGATCTTGATGATCAGAGCCCATTTCATCACACAATTCTTTTAACAGTCTTGTATTTAAAGCACTGTTTTTTTATATAATTAATAATCTTAACAGACTGAGACAGGACTTCAGTAAGCTCAGGTGCCATTTTTTTGGAGGTCACGTTTTGCCTATGAATGTAGCAGTGCGTTGACACTAAGTTATTGCCCGCCATATCCTTTATTTTAGTGCCCAAACCTGAATTTCTACCTGTAAGACAGGAGCACCGTCAGTGCAAACTCCAACGCAATTTTTCCATTCGAGATCTCTCTCTTCAATGAAACCATTTAAAACTTTGAAAATTTCACTGCTGGTAGTGTGCGTAGTTAATTCAGAAACACTTAAAATGTCTTCCTTCTTGTCACTCTCATCATGGTCAATATATCGTACATCCATAAGTAAAATGCTGCTGTTCTGAATATCTGTAGATTTGTCCAATTGTAATGCAAACAGAGTAGCTAATGGAAAGGTGAGTCCAGTGTGACATACAAGTTTACAACACTTCGGTCACGCGTATGTCACACTGGACTGAACTTTCCATTATCTACTCTGTAATTAATAGTGTGACGGACCAAAATGAGACAAATTAAATTAGTAATGCAAACAATTTTGATTTTTTAATTTTTTCAATGACTTGCGTTTCTGTGTCATCCACCTACCAACTGTATCATTCAACAATGGATGTCTTTCATTTTACTTGCCGCAGACTGGCCTAATACTTCATTACAAGCAGCAGTCAAAGAAGACTTAATGAGTTCTTCCCCAATGGATTCCCCCCCCCATTTAGCTGTCTGTAGTGATATTAAATAGGATGCTGTCAGAAGTGAAGTGTCAGTGGTTGAAGCTTGATAAATAATTTTCTTTTCTACTTTAAGTGCATCTCTTTTACGCGTAAAGAATTTCATGGGTTTGTTGACTAGATCGGAATGTCTTGTGTTGAGATGTCGGATAAGTTGCGATGGCTTCATAGCTTCATTTCCCAGAGCAGTAGCACAAATGACACATTGAGGTCATGGCAATTGGTCACTGTTAGGGCATTGTATGAAACCAAATTTTAAGTAGCTGTCCATGTACTTATGAATGGATGCAGACTTTTTCTTCTGTGTGCTGGTGGTTTTTCCTTCATTTTGTACATCCTGGAGATTGCTATGTAAGCTTGAGGTGGATGAATCACTACTTATTGCGTCAAAACACCTTCAATACGAGATTTCTTAACACCAAAATTAAAGTTCCCTGTCTCTTATTCATATTAAAATTTAAATCACTCAGGTTTCGAAACAAGCACTTGCACACTGCAATGCCAACTTGCGAAGAAACAGTATTCAGTATTACTAGATTTGAGAACTGGATACAGACTTCCGTGATCTGATCTTCAATTTCAGTGGAAACGTTTTCTTTATATTTCCTTGCTGACTGGTCACTAACATTTGCAACACAGATGTTATTTCGCTCAGTTCTGAGAACAGAGGATATGCCGCCCATTGTTGTAATCGGCTTGCAGACAATTTTTATGACTGGTCATAAACTTCGGTATTGCCTTTCCCATATGTTGAAAGATTTGGATGTCTGAAAATTCCCAATCATTCATGAATACTTCCATGTTTAAAAATATGCGGGTTGGTCACTGACATTTGCTACACAGATTTAGGTGTTCTGTGTCTGAGCTTCTCGACACAAATATTCTCCTCAGAATATTTCCACTATAAAATACATGTATTTATTCACGAAAAATGCTTAGAAAATGAAAGTGACAAATTCCAGAAGAGCCTCTCGCTGCCCAGTATAATTGATGCCAGGGCCCACTACTGGGCCACAGCCTGGTGGTTGAGAAGCACTGGTGTAGAAGACATCATGAAATACCACCTGCACTATCGCAAGGTGAATGCACGGGGGTTACCACGCACTTTGATGGACATGAACAAAATGGTGCGCATGCAAGCTGCCAGTCGTGACCCTCAGTAGTTTGAAGACGAAGGTGATGCATTTTTGAAGTCTATAGTGACCACTGATGAAACGTGGGTGCACTACTTCATTCCCGAGTCCCAGCGGTCATCACGCGAGTGGCAGCATACCAGTTCTCCCAAACCCAAGAGCGCGGAGGAGCCGTTCGGCAGGAAAAGTGATGGCAACGTTCTTCTGGGGCTGGCAGGGGGTTATCCATGTAGACTTTCTGACAGATGCTAGAACAGTCAATGCAGCTTATTACTCAGACCTGGCAACAGATGTGAAGGAAAAGATCCATTCCAAGCAGAAGACAGGTGGAAAGCAGGTAGCCTTCCTTCAAGACAATGCACGCCCCCATACGGCCAAAACAACAATGGAAACCCTCCGGAAATTGAAATGGAACCTTCTGACACATCTGCCATACAGTCCCGATTTGGCCCCAAGTGATTTCTACCTGTTTGGAAGGCTCAAATCAGACTTGTAAGGCTTGCGGTTTGTAGACAACACCATCATCCAGACTTCGGGAGTGGATACGCCGCCAACCACAAGCCTTTTTTGAAAAGGGCATCAGGATGCTTCCAGAACGTTGGAAAAAATGTGTTGACTCCGGAGGGTAGTACGTTGAAGACTGACATGTGCAAGTAAGTGTTTGGCAATTATGGTTTTTAAAAAGAAAATCAGTCCCGGTCATATTTGAACCACCTTGTAAATCTGACCTGTGACTTTTGACTTATCCAGTGTGGGAAAGGCATAACGTCAGTGCTTATATATTACTTTGCCGAACTTCTTTCCATGTATTTAGAATACACAGTAGTTTGTACTGATGTGACATTTGTTCAGGATTCAGCGATACGTACCTTTGTATATGAAAACCAGATTTTCTCTTAATGCACCCACAGCCTTAATAGTGTGTATGCTGCCAAACTTCATGTGATATACAGAAATCTTCTATTCAATTGACAGCCTTGAAAATTCCACATCCTCAGCATGAGCTTACTAAATGCCTTGCAGAGCTAACTTGGATATGCACCCTAACATCCAGTAGTTATCAAGATTCTGCAACAGGTGCTCACCTCCACAAGGCAGAGAAGTTGTATGTATTTTGCTGGGTTCCCAGTCATATGGGCCTGCCCATCATTGAGGCCATCAGGCCAGAGGTGTCGCAATGCATGTTGACTTGCCATCAGATCAGGCTCTAAGCAGTGGCATTTCCATGCACTTCTTCAACTTTTTTTTTTCTGCCTGGTAAGAAGACTGCACAGATACAAATGGTAGTTAATTCAGTAAAACCATCCATGCACTTTGAATGTCCTCCAGCTCTGTCAGGAAGTGGAAGGTTATGGACACATGGCTTCAGCTTGGTAACACGTTATGGATATTTATGGATATTTTTTGTGTGGGGAACCATTACTAGTTTGTACATGCTGTGGGGAACCCCTTAGTATTCCACATTTTTCATAGAATGACAATTTCTTCATGAAGAATGTCATACTTTTATATTTTGTGCTTTGTGTGAATTTGTATACATCAATTTTAGCAGCATGGATTGTACGAATTCCATATCAGGCCCCTATACAGTCTGGCATTATGTTTTATGTCTTCAGTTTTTGTGCATAGATTTTAGGATATCAGTGTCAGGGCCCTATACTTTTTGTTATAACTTACCGTATTTACACATGTATAGGCCGCAGCACAATTTTCAGACAGAAATTATAGAAAAAATAATTTTCTTGGAATATTATTTCAGGAGTAGAACACCCTGTATTACTAATTATGAATATATATATATATATTTTTTTAATGAAGNTGGCACGCAACAGGCAACACTGCGGCTATATAAGGGAACTGCACAGCAGCTACGAGCCAGTTGTAGTGCGGCTATCGCCAAGTTCAGTAGTAGTCGAGCGAGTGTGTTATCAACAGTTCTCAAGGCAGCACCCTGCGAGTTGAGTTGAAATCTAGCCATCAGAGAGTTACGAGTTGAATTGAATTGTAGTAGTCACCGAGTTTAGTTGTAACAAGTGAATCATGACAGTGTGAAGAGATTTGTGTGTAGGGTTTGTAAAGTGTGTAAACCCGTATCAGTTTTATAATTAATTGTAGCCGTTACTTGGAGGTTGTTAAATAAACCAATTAACAATCTCTACGGTGTATTCAGTAACGAAACACATTACAATATTAATATGCATTTCAAATCCTTGTTCTTAATTGACCAGTCCATATACATACACCAGTATATATTTACCTTGTGTCATGAATATTTAGTTTTTTGTTTTATGTTGGTGCAAAGCCATGGCAAGTGATCAATAGGCATATATTGCATCAGTAGCGAGTAGAGTGATTTGCTTGACAACCAGTTGAAAATCATTGAGAATTTTGGGAGAGAATGCATATGAATGAACGACAGATATACATCTTGGAATTACTTGGGATACTACAGGATCTGGATGTATTTATATATATCGAGTTTGTACATTGCTTTCATGGAGTTCTGTTATTGGCAGGCTCTGAAGTTGAAGAGTTAGACCATGGCTGGGGAGAGCTGGACCATGATGCTGAACGAACAAATGAAGTGACAAATCGATTAGCAGTATGCCACATGGATTGGGACAGAATCAGGGCTAGTGACCTCATGGTTCTCTTTTCCTCTTTCCTGCCCCAAGGAGGACTTATTCATTCTATAACAGTATGTATGCATTTTGTAAGCTATGCCATGACTACTTTCATTAGAGTGATCAAGTCAAAGAGCATGAATTGAATAACTGCTGGATAAGTATACAGTTCTAGCTGAAAAACTAGAAGGGAAGAGACCGCTTAGGAGACCTAGGCATAGATAGAATGATAATGTTTAAAAACTGATCTTAAATAGTAAATAAGGCATGGGAATGTAGACTGGACTCATCTGGCTCAGGATAGGATTTGGTGGTGTTCTGTTGTCTTCCATAATGGGTGGGATATTTTTTGTGTAGCTGACTAAGTTTTGGAGATGGGCTGAGCTCCTTGGACTTTTTTTTTTTTTCATTTGAAGCTACAGCCCTCATTTGGGCCTAGGCCTACCTCCATGAATCTCTCCTTTTCACTTCGGTTTACTAGATCTTAGACATTCAGTAGGACTCCTTGGGTAGGTGATCAGCTCGTTGCAAGGCCTCTACCTATACACAAACACAGAAAAACGCACACAAACTTCCATGCCCTGAGTGGGATTAGAACCCACAATCCCGGCTTCCGAGCGAGCGAAGACAATGCATGCCTTAGACCGCTCAGCTACCATGACCGGCCCTTGGACTTAGTGTTGAATATTATATAATTGTTTCCAACAAACCATAACAATAATGGACTTCTGTGTTTCACATTTGGAGCATAATAAGAGATAGTAGGTAGTTCACCGAAGAATATTAAATCAAGCAGATCTAGGTCAACCAGATCCTCTTATTGGAGATGACTAAATTTGTAACCTGATTATTTCAACTCAAACATTTGTTATAATCTATAGTCACACTTATTTCAATTGAAGGGTTTGGAAATAGATTAGTGACCCTAATATTAGGAACACCAAAATGGTGTTTACCCAAATAAATAATGTAGAGCATTCAGTTGAGATGGAAAGTTGCTGCTTCCAATAGTGCAGTGATAGTTACTACCTAGCCCTGGACAAAACAGCACAGTCATTTCCCCAGCATTGAGCTCTGACTCCTTTTACTTGAACAGAGTTTTATTACTGATTTATAAGAACTGCTAGAATTGACCCCCTTCTACCATCAATCATGACTCATAGCACTCTCACTCATGGAGCTGAGCCCTTCTTGAGAAGCTGGCAGTTGTGCAGCTACTTAAGAAGTTCCCAGCATTTTATGGAACCTGAAGGTTCATTATTGTTTTCTCAAGAGCCCTCCATTAGTCCCTCTCCTGAGCAGATCAGTCCAATCCACACCATCCCATCCTATCTCTCTAAGATCCATTTTAATATTGTCCACCCACCTACATCTTGGTCTTCCCAGTGGTCTCCTTCCTTCCAGCTTTCCCACCAATAGCCTATATTAATTCCTCCTCGGCCCCATTCATGCTACATACCCAGCCCATCCCATCCTTGACTTGATCATTCTAGTTATACTTGGAGAAGAGTACAAGTTATGAAGCTCCTTACTATGCAGCTTTCTCCAGTCTCCCATCACTTCATCTCTCTTCGGTCCAAATATTCTCCTCAGCACCCTGTTCTCAAACGCCCTTAGTCTATGTTCCTCCCTTAAAGTCAGAGACCAAGTTTCACACCCATACAGAACCATAGGCAAAATTATAGTTTTGTATACTCTAATTTTTATGTTTCTAGACAGCAGATGAGAAGACAAAAGGTTCTTGACTGAATGGTAGCAAGCATTACCTGAGTTCAGTCTCCTCTTAATTTCCTCCTGAATCAGGTTTTGATTTGTTATAGTTGTTCCAAAATATGAGCTGGAGATGTAATACTGGTTCTTAACATGATCAAAATGCAATGAAAATATTTACAGAAAATAATGAAAATACTAAATTTTTTTCACACCACTGGCATGCAATCTGTATATGATACTGTGAACATGTATGATGTTATTTGGCATGGAACTTCTTCTGTGCAGATCTATCCATCAGAGTTTGGGCTGAAAAGAATGAAGGAGGAAGAAATTAGAGGACCACTAGAACTAGTGGGTGATGGTAGCTCAGTGCAAGATGGAAAAGTGGAAGAGGATGAAGAGGTGTGTCATGCATTTTCTTACATGTTTATTTATTTATTGCTACAGTATTTAAAAATTATTTCATTCACATTGTTAACTTGGATTGGCTTTAACATTGGCACATGTCAGCGACTAGACACGGGGTTTGGATTGGTAATTGGATTTATTGAACACTTATAAATCATAACTACAAGTAATTTATATTGCTTGCACTAAGTCGCGCATTCTCCTTCTCACTGCAGCACATGTTAAATTTTCTGTCTTTACCAGCTGTTGCCTGGTAATGGATTTCAACAGTGTCGTCTGCTTATGTCATTACCAGCTCATTGGCCCTCATATAGCTTTGGGTTGGACTGCATATAAAACGTGTTTCTTTGTTGCATAGCAATGGATTTCTAGCTGGATGACATAATGGCATGTTTACTGTGCTATTGCATAGTGATGGTTGACATCTCTCGTTAAGCTATTCAGTCATGTCACTATGTTATAAGCACATGTGTATATGAACAAGTACATTTTTAAAGTGTTTTATGTCCGTGCAGAAAGTTCCCAGAATTTGTCAGTAATAACTTTATTTCAGCACACAGAGCTTAGTTACATTTACCTGCTTCAAAATAATTTCCTTGAGCAGAAATGCACCACTCCCATTTCCTTTTTCACTTTGGAACACTGCACAAAGGATGTTTCTTGGTCACTCTCAGTTCATATTTCATATGAGTGATGATGTCCTCTGATAGTAATGAGAAATATGCATTATTCGCTAGTTTTATTCTTCTTGTTATTTCATGATTTTCCTCTCCTGCTTTGTGGAATTTTGATCCTAAATATATGAAGTCTTCAACTCTTTCTATCCCTTCCCCTTCCATGTTAATTTCTCCAGTTTGCCTTGGATTCCTTCTAGATTGTATCAGCATTTTAGTTTTATTTACATTCACCTCTAAACCAGTTGTTTTGCTATGGTTTTTATTTCTTTATATTATTTCCTCTTTCAGACAGTTGAATGAATGGTTTAATATCAATTTGTTGTCATTAAATTATAACAAAACTCAGTATATACAATTTAGAACCACTAATAGCCAAACAATTCAGTTAGATATCAGTTATAATGATAAATATATTTTATTTCTGTTTGTTGCATTGTGACGGTCAATAAAGAGTTGAATAANTTATGCTATTAGATCTTTAAGACCCTTTGTGTCCCATGAATCACTAAGGATGATTTACTATTCTTATTTTCATGCAGTTATGTCATGTGGTATACTCTTCTGGGGGAATTCCCCTTATAGTATCAATATATGTAAACTACAAAAAAAAA